CTGTGTGGTGGGTGTTTTGCCTGTTTTTGTGTGTGTTAGAGAGAGAGAGAGAGAGCAAGAGACACAAAAAAAGGTGTCAAAGACGCAGGCCTCAACATGTCCTATATCACTTGCATCATGCTGAGCAGAATGTGATTGTGTACGTAGGCGTGTTTCGTGTGGATGACTGGAGTCACACCTGGATGTAATTTCCATTTTGGCAAAGCTGGGGATAGTTTTATTATTAGTTTGTTGGCATATGTTGGAATATTTTTAGCCACGGTTCGCTGATTGCTCTGGGGACAGGAGGGTTAGTTGGTCCCACAATTTGTTCAGGTGTAAAAAATATATTAAAAAATTGGATGAATTGCTAAAAAAAAAGACATTAATGTTTCCCAGAGGTCGAAATGACTTTGATCCCGTCACTTTTCATTTTGTGGCACCAGCACGTCAAATTCCGCACTTGTTCAACACTTATTTCAGATGGGATACCTTTTAAAACTAACAACTAATGGCTTCAGTTGTACTTTTAATGATTAATAAGATTAATGCTATATGCTGAATTTTGATAGTAGCTGTGCTGCATGTTAGCACATTTGTAACTAACAAGTTATATGTTAAACATTAGTATGCTAACTTTAAGTACGTTAGCATGATGTTGTCTACAATCAGCTCAAAATGATCACGCTAAAAATTTACTTCAGCTGCAGCTGTTAGCTAGTTATCAACTTAAACCCTGACCTTGTTTGGCTGTTTGTGTTTATTTAATAGACCAGACTGATCTGAAAATGTTTCTCCAGACCTTTCTTGTTTTTCTCTTGGATTTGTACATTCATGAAGTAGAGTCACTCAACATGTAGACAAGCAAAATGTTTTGCTAAAATTGAACCTTGCGTGGGCATTAACTTGTGTTTCCTAGAGGGAATTTGCATATCTCCATTTCACTCGTGTCTTTCCATTGGCATGACTTCATGTCTCCTCTAATATTTGCTTAATTCAGACTCAACACCTTTAATTGTTGTTTGAGATGAATTCTAACATGCTAAATGTTATAATTATTGCAGCAATGTTAATACTAATATAATTGTGGCAATGCCAATATGTTAGCTTGTTTGTAACATGATAACTGCAATCAATTAGTATGCTAACGCTCACCTCAAAGCGCAGTTAAGCCAAAACAGCTGGAAATGAAGTATCGAGCCTGACAAACTGAGTCTGAGTCTACATCCACAGTACTGCGTTTTTAGTTTTAAAACGATCTCTGTCCACACCAGCATTTTAGCTGCGTATCAGAATTGATCTCCAACTATATTAAAACAACTGAAAACGCACATCTAGTGGCCATTCACGTACACTGGGCATAAGCATGCCGGTGTAAACAGGAAGTAGATTCTCTACACCGCAGTTGCCAAAGATCTTAACAGGAAGTAGATTCTCTACACTGCAGTTGCCAAAGATCTTAACAGGAAGTAGATTCTCTACACCGCAGTTGCCAAAGATTTTGCGAAAGAAAAAAGTACTACAGATGAAGAACCACACCAGAGATTTTTTTGCTTGGACCGGTGACGAGGTGGAACTGTTGCTGACCGTAGCACGGGAGTCCAGAACGACTGTGGCGGCGGAAAAAACAGCCTGGAATTTCTTGCAAAGTAAATACAGCGACATGCACAGTACAAAATAATTAATAAAAATATTAATATCAAATATTAAGAATAATAAGAATAACAAAACATAAACAGTGTCAGTAGCATAGTGTTTGTGCTTTGTCTAACAAAGTCCAACCAGGGAGCCAAATGTGAATGTCTGCATCACTTGTCTGCACTAAAACGCTACCCTGGAGTTTTAAAACAAAAACGGGGTCGGCAGAGTTTTCAAACATATCCGTTTTAGGTTTTCGAATTCACCCTTTTTGTCTGGATGGGAGGTGCAAACATAGCAAAAGGTCTGCGTTTCAAAATGAAAACGTAGTAGTGTGGATGGGGCCTGAGAAGTCCTATAATGGTCACTGCAGGATAAAACCTTTTAATTTTGATAACATCTAGTGATGTGTCAGTCGCGAACGAGACTGCTCTTATAAGTGAATGATTGGAGCCGGCTCCCGTCTTTTGCCCCAATGTTGACATGAATAGCGAAGTTGTTTTCTGATGTGCAATGAGCATTACAGCCTCACGGGGCTGCTAGCATGACCTTTTTAATTGTGTTTATTCATTCAGTCATCACTCTTAAAAAAAAAAGATTCCTAAAGGGAGTTAAATGTCTTAATTTGTATTTAGGGCTATTGTGCATTTCACACTCCAACCCCCTGCTGTCTGGGGCAGCACAGGTCAGAGGTGAAGGGTGAAAGGTCAGTGTCAGAAACCACCCCTCCCCCATCTCACCACTGTCCCCAAAGCAGACAGAGCAGACTAGCAGAGAGAAAGCGTGATGGATGGAGGGTTAACACCACCCTCTGCCACACACGCACACACACACACACACACAGAGCTCAAACCACACACCCACTCTCCACGTCATCACCATAAACCCTCCTCCTCTTTCTACCCCCCACCCCCCAACCACCACCACCACCCTCCTCCCAGGAGTGCGAGCCAAAAGCAGGAGGGATGAAGAATGAAGAGAGAAAAGAAAACGACAGAGAGCACAGTTTGAGAGAGAGAGAAGGGACAGCTAAGGAGAGAAAATGGAAAGATAAAAAGAGTGACAGAGAAGAGAGGAGGAGTACAGGAAGGAGGAGGTAGGATGGAGGGGGTGATAGATGGAGAGTGAGGGGAAGGCGCGGGGGGAGGGGGGGTGTGTGGGGGGGATGGAGAGGGGAAGGAGGAGGGGGGAAGTGGATAGAAAAGAGGTCACGTGACCATGTAGCAGCTGCAAGGCTGAGAGGGAGAGAGAGAAAGAGTCTCACAGAGGAGCAGAAAGACGACGAGCAGGAGGAGAACAGTGAGCGGGAGGGTGAGTGTGTTTGTTTGCATGTTTGAATTATGTGCACATGCATATGTTAGTGTGTGTGTGTGTGAATGACATGGATAAATATCAGAGAAATAGCCTGTAAGAAAAGACTGTAGGAAAAAAAGGAAGAAAGAAAGCAAGAAACAGAGAAGAGATTATGTTTGTTGGCTTTTGTTAAATAAGCTCCAGTACGCGGAGATGAACGACAGAGAGAGAGGGGAGAAAGAGGAGAGACGGAAAGAAAAGAGTGAGTGAGTAGAGAGGAGGAAGGGAGAGAAAGAGTCGATAGAAACTGTCTTATCATCTCTCCCTTGACTGCTGGGCTCAGCAGAGACAGAGATATACACACACACACACACACACACACACACACACACACACACACACACACACACACAGAGCCTGTCAGGAACTGAGCTTTCACTCGCTTCATCTCTCTTTCCCTTTCTGTCTGTCCGTTTCATTTTCAATTTGCTTTATTGGCATGACATGTAAATACATATGTGCAGCCAAATAAATATAGGAAGATAGTGATTAAAGAAAAGAAAAGAAACTTGAAGCCGGTTATGCACAAAAAGAATGGTGAACATTAAAGAAAATCTTACATCTTGTGTATCTTATTGTCTTCTGATATATTAAACTTCATGTCAGAGGCTGCGTGCGTGTTAATTGTACGCATTAGATATGTCATTCAGAGCTGTTACTGTAGGTTTGCAGATTATTTGTTATCTCGTCTGTCTTGCTTTGTGGCAGCTGGTAACAAACTGAGGAGAGGAAGCGTTTCATCAGCTGGCAGGGTCACAAAACCTGATATAGACTTTTCAAAACTTTGATTATATTTAACGCTAATGGTTTTAAAATTTCAAAACATGCAGAAGAAATGTACAGACAAACGTTTTTGGATGGTTTACATGATTTCATATAACAACCTCTGTCAGTCTCCACTTCATGTTACTTTACTTTAGGCTTACTTGGCTTTTGTTCATTTCTCTCTCCCTCTCTGTGTTTCTCCTCACTGTCCCCTTCATATATCTTCTTCTTCTCGCTCTGTTTATCGCTCCACAGCTTCCTCTGCCCCTGTTTTTGCTCACATTTGTGAAAGCTGGCAGGTAGAAGGCAGACACCTCATCTTAAGTCTGTGAATAATAATAATAATAATGAACAAACACTTAAGATCTGACCACTCTTTATTCTTTTACTTCTTTAAAGTCATCTGTGTGATGAGCAGAACACTGAATAATGGCGTTCAATGTGCACTTATGAATTTTTCATGAGTGTGTTTTCTGCTTTGGCTGTATGTTTGCTCTTCCTGTGGCATACATGTGCATGTATCCATGTTTGAAAGGTGGTTGTGTGTGTGTTGTGGTGGTAATGAGGTCATTGCTGTAGCAGACAGGGGGGCTGCTGGCTAATTCCAGCTGTAATTAACATTAGTGGGTCGGTAAGAGGGGAGAGGGTGAAGACAAAGGTTACTCTAACACACTCTTAAGTGTGTGCACTATTCAGTAGATCGATGGGTTTGCTAGTCATCTTTGTGCGTGACTGTGTGTGTGTGTTTGTTTGTGTGTGCACATGCTCGCTTCAGTGAGAGTGTAAAACTGCAGTGATACTTAATAATGTTTGCATGTAGACACTCCCGAGGTCTTAAGATGTGTTTGCTGGCTCCCTTGAGGAAATGGACATGTGTGCACTCATGTGTATGATTTGCTATTAGGGTCACGGCTCTATTTGACACAACTCTACTCCCTTCACTCTGTCTCGAGTGGAGCTGACCCACTCGTATGCGCTCACTATGATGTCCAGACACAAAGGCATAAACACACACACGCACACACTTGTCCATTCCCTTCAAACACACGGTAAATGAGATACCAACTGTGTTTGCTTTTTCATACAAAATAATTCAAAGCTACATTTTCTTCTTTGAGAAAGAAGTGGTAATCGAATTCCCCAGATGACAAAAGAATGACACACTTTTGCTAACTGGATTGTCCGTGTTTTATTTAGAAACTTACTGGTACAATTTCTCGATATATCAAAGCTCCTCTCATACTTCTTCCCACTCTCCTCCTCAGGTATGAACCATGAGTCCAATAAATCATCATTAGGAATGATCTCCACGGCAACTCGCACCACGGCCACCGTCAGTCCCCTCAGCCCACTAACCAATGGGAACGCAGCTGCCCAATCTGCAAACTCCGGATTCGCTGCTGCCCTGCGTAAACTGGCCAAACAGGCAGAGGATCCCAGAGGTAAGCAGTGATCTTAACAACATTGAAACGCATAGCTTCAGCATCTCCAGTCCCCAGAGATCTGACATGGTCCTGACCTCTAAACCAAGAAACAGAGCTGTAAAAACAAAATTAAAGGAATAGTTCAACATTTATGGGTATGAGGTACGATATTACCTTTTCATATGGAGAAAACGGTTTAAGCTTAGTCCCCGTACAACCACAGCTTGTCATTTATACTGTTTTAAACAAACGAGATATAACATGGCTGGCCAGGCTAGCTGTCTCCCCCTGTTTCCAGTCTTTATGCTAAGCTAAGCTAAGGTAACCAGCTGACAGCTGGAGTTTCATATTTACCTCACAGACATTGGAGTAGCATCTCCTCATCTAACTCTCAGCCAGAAAGCAAATGAGTGTATTTCCCAAAATGTTGAGTTCTTCCTTTAAGATGTGAACGAGGTATTAATGAACGAAAATTGGACAGTGTATTGCAACACAGTGCCAATAACTGTATAAGTAGATCAATTCACAGACCAAGGTTGTTTTGTGGACTAATGTGAAACGTTTTACTGCCTGGTAGCTCTTTGGTTTTGTGTGTGTGTGTGTGTGTGTGTGTGTGTGTGTGTGTGTGTGTGTGTGTGTGTGTGTGTGTGTGTGTGTGTGTGTGTGTGTGTGTGTGTGTGTGTGTGTGTGTGTGTGTGTGTGTGTGTGTGTGTCCCCTCACTCAGCTCATTGGTGTCCTAATGAAGGTGTTGAATAAGAGCTGACCTTCTCTGACCTCTCCCTCTCTGCCTCTTCCTTCATCCATTTCCATTCATCTCCTAATAATGAGAATCTAATTACAGTCAATTATAACAAGCTCTCTCTCTGTCTCTTGTCTCTGCCACTCTCTCACCATCTCGTTTTCTCTCTCTCTCTCTCTCTTTCTCTCTCTCCCTGTAGCGCTTTCTCTACCTAAAGCTCTACATGAGCTCCACTTTCTCTCCATGTCATTATTTCCTCCTCCTTACCTTCTCTGAACATGTTTGTGTTCGTCTACTGATTAGTGAGTGTAGTGAGTAATGGTAGAGTGAATGTTACAGACAACACACACACACACACACACTCTCTCTGTATCACATTTAACACCACCCCCTTCGCCGTGTCACATGCCAGCCTCTTTTTAACACCTTTGTTTATGACATCCTCCCTTCGTTCTCTTTATTCATTTTGCATAAGTCTTGCACACACACACACACACACACACACATTTTGTACTATTTCCTCATCTCTTCTACCTCATGCGTCTTTTTACACTTTATTTCTGTCACATTTTTGCCAGAATGTTTTTCATCAAAATGATTGAATCACTGTTTACCCCGTCACAAGCCAGTACACTGACAAAAAATATAATTTTTTCTTTTTTTGTATACCACCTGTATTATGTCACGGGGGATTGTTTGATCCTGAAATCTTTTTAATCTGATCAGCCGTCTGATAGCGGCAGTTTATTCCTGCCTCTCCCACTGTCATTAACACTGTCTCTCCCTCCGCCTCAGGTTCTGCCATCAGCGGTGAGTCATCTCCAGTCTCTTCCCCGGCCACCAGCCACAGCTCGCCAGTCACCACACCTAAACGAGGCTCATTAGGGCCCCTTCTGGGCCAGACCAGGGGCCACGGTGTCCCCAGCACCCCTCCAGTCGTCACCATTGCACCCACCAAGACCAGCAACGGCCTGTGGAGGGCCGACGGACGACAGGTAAGACAACCGTCATACCCGCTGGTGTTCCAGATGAGTTTGAGACAAGGCATCTGCTGTTCTCGCTCTGTTTATCTGTACTTTTTGTTCCTCTGTCTCACTGGTTTCTCTTTTTCTCATTTCTCTCTCTCTCTTTCACTCGCGCTTTCTCTCCGCACAGATGAGTTGTCTGCCTCTCTCTGTCTCCTTTATCCGTCCTGCTGTTGCGCCCTCCATTAAAGAAATAGTCCCAGTGCTTGTCAACATCAAACTGTCAAAACCAGCCATCCCTCCATTGCTTTCTTTCTATCACCCCACTCTCTCCTTCTCTGTCTTGTCTCATTCTTTCATTTTCATGCTTTCACCCCTCTGCCTCAACCCCCTCTTCCTCTCGCTAATCAGTCCATGTCTTTTTCAGCAACACATGAGGGGTTTGTAAAGAAACACTGGCGGCTGCAGAGACTGGCACCTATTGTGTTCAGCTTCCTGCAGTGTGTGTGTGTATGTGTGCACTTGTGTGTACTTGACCCTTCACCACAGAAGGCTTAGGATGTGAAGAGGGACCCATGTATGTGTGTGCACGTCTGTGTATGTGTTTGCTTGTGGGTGTGTGAGTGAATTTAAGGTGGGGCGAAGAACCAGGCCCCTCACACAATGCAGGGGTTAGCCCCCACAGTAGCCACTTCCCACTGGATCAGAGCTGCCTTTCTCCCCCTTCACAAAGACCACTCTGTGGCTGTGCCTGCCTGGGGCTCCCATTCAGACATTCAGAGAGAAAGAAGGAGGGAGGGAAGCAGGAAAATAGAGAATAGGATGTTAAGAAAGGAGGGGAGGGAGAGTAAGAATGAGCAGGAGAGCGACAGAGAGAGGGCTCTAAAGCTTTGCGTAGATTCAGTGTTTGTCCTTACTGTGCACAGCTTGTCCTAGAACAGAGAAAGACGCAGGACGGGACGATTTAAGCAAAAGAAACAGTTTGGTTGTGTTTATTGCTGCATCTGTGAAAGCTGTTAGCTGTGTGCGGGGTCAGGGGTCAAGGAATGTGATGGCTCCAGACCAGACCCTCCGTGTGTCGTCTCCCCTTCTTATTTTGAAGCAGTGAAGATTTCTGAATGATAGAGAAAGAGAGAGATCATCACTGGTTTGAATCTGCTTTCCATGACTGGCACATTCAAAACTATTCAAACATATTCAAAGCACAGATATTTCACTGCAGGTCAAGACATGACTAAGGTAGCAGATTGGGTGTTGCTGGGAGAGGTCATTTGTTTGTGGTTTGTCTGTCTGACCTGCATTGCTGTCTGTTCCATATAGCAACAAGATAGGACAGATTATAGTGGCTTTTCTGGCAGCTATTTCTTCTTTATAATGGAAAAATCTGTGTCCACAAAGAATTTTTCCACTATGTATTTATAATTCCAGTGTTGAAATGAAAGACAATGTAAAATTGTGACTCCAAGCAGCGTCAGTCGAACGGTTGGTCGGCCCGCCACTTCTTTTCCGGGCTGAAATATCTCAACAACTATTGGAAGATTTTGCATTAAATTTGTACAGACATTCATGGAGCCCAGAGGATGATTTTTAACCACTTTGGCGTTCCCCTGACTTTTCATCTAGTGCCATCATCAGCATTCACATTTGTCTCAGCTATTTTTATGGCCAAATTCCTATAAAACTAATGACATTCCCATCAGCCTCAGCTGTTTAGTCCTAATATATAAATGTTAGCATGCTAACATGCTAAAGTAAGACGGTGAACAATATACCTGCTAAACATCAGTATTTCAGGATTGTCATTGCGAGTATGTTAGTATTCAACATTGGTGTGTAGCTCAAAGCACAGCTGTGCCTAAGTGGCCTCACAGAGCTGCTAACACGGCTGTAGACTCAATTTAAAGAGGTCATATTATGCTTTTTGGCTTTTTCCTTTTCCTTTATTGAGTTATATATCTTTTTGTGCATGTAATAGTTTTGCATAGTGAAAAAGCCCAAAGTCCAACCCAAAGGGAGTTCCCATCTCCCACAGAAAACAGCTTGTTTGCAGTCCAGCCTTTTCTTCCACTTTCTTGTGACGTCATAAGAAAACATACCGTATTTTCCGCACTATAGGGCGCACTGGATTATAAGGCGCACTGTCAATGAATGGTCTATTTTCGAACTTTTTTTCATATATAAAGCGCACCGGACTATAAGGCGCATTAAGCGAAACAAAACAGTCAGATAAGTCAGTCAAACTTTATTAAAAAACAGGTGCAGGTACACCGTGAACAAGTCACCAGTTCATCACAGAGCACATAGAGACGAACAACCAAGAAGGCCCGCCTCGAAAGTCATTGATATTAATGTCCCGTGCTAACGCTGTTGCCTTCATTCGAATCAAGACTGTAGAGACGCTTCTACCTGCTGCTCTCTGTTCAATAACCCACTGTTCAATTTTTGTCCTCTAACTGTGGCCATCTCGCGTTGTTCCCGCGGAAACTCTGTGTGGTCTTCTTTACTTGGCGCAGGTCATCTTCTTGCTTCCTCCACTTCCGTACCATTGATTCATTAATGTTGAATTCTCTCGCTGCTGCTCTATTCCCGCGTTCTACTGCGTGAGTGATAGCCTTGAGTTTAAAGTCTGCGTTGTAAGCATGTCTCTTGACAGATGCCATTTTGGGGTCACACTGTAATATTATGGTGAAGCACAGTAGGCCTACTGTATGTATTACTCCGCGACGCTCATGACTACGAGCGCCGTGTACCACACAAAAAGAATAATGACACATGACATAGTAAGCAAACTGGGACAGATCCACACCCAGAACATGGTATGCATCCTTGCCAACTGTTTAACTATTTTAACTGTAATGTAATATGCAAGTTTGGGAAACATCCTTTTGTAATTTGTTTTTTTTTTTTTCATGACTGCTTTTGGCTTTTGTCATGGTGGTGATTTGAAGGTCAGAATTTTTACTATAACCAGTCAAAGATCAAATGCAACTTTGTGGCGACCATCTGAGTGGGAACCTCTTAGAGAGACAGAGTGAGTGATGAAGGAGAGAGCAGTTGGCCAGACACTAGGATCATCTTTCCACTTTGATCTGGACCTGTTATGACACATCAGACCCACTTTTCCAAGCCGCTGAGCCTCAGGGTGCAGCTCGTGGGGGGGTCGTCGCTCCTTGTCATTTCCTTCTCCTCTTTTCCTGAACTGCTCAGTTTAAATCTAGCACACACTCAAACCGCATAGATTTGATAGTAATGTCAGCTCTCTCACTGTCTGTCTCCCTGTCAGGTTGAGCCGAGTGTTCAGGGACTCAGTAGGGAGCGGGTGAGTGCTGAGAGCACCCAGGCACAGCAGGATAAGAGGACTCCGCCTACCCCTTCACCTCACCCCTTGGCCCACCCCTTTGGCCTTACCCCCAGTTCCGTCATGCAGGACCCCAGAATACAGAGCCTTAGGTAAGTGTAGCACAACTTTTCATTGATTTATTATAATCCCTTAAAAATCTTTATATTTGAAACTACATTAAACATTTTGAATGCGGTGTGCACTTGTTCTGCAGTTTGCCCGGGCAGATGCACCCTGTGGTTCCCTCGGGTGCCGTCCCAGAAGAGTACCTGAGAGCGCTCCGGCCCTTTGCCACCTCAGATGACCTCCGACTGACCTCTTTATCCCTGAGTCTCGACCCTGCTGCTGCTGCCCATGCCGCAGCTGCTGCTGCTTATTATCATCCTGCCTACCTGCACCACCCACTGTCCCTACCAAGGTAACACCACCTTAAACTCACAATCCTTGACAAGCTCATGTTATCTAGTCAGAATCTTTGTTTAAATTCTAATCAAGACAAACATTAAGACATTCATTTGATTGAACAAAATGACATTTTTGTTTTGAGTATTTCTCCAGTTAGGAGTATATTTTAGCTTAAGTGAAGTGCTGGAACAAACAGACAGAGTACATGGCTTACATGTGATCTTGTTAAACAACACTGTGTTTTATCGTACCAAAGTTTTTGTGGGTAATTTTAGGAACGTTAGGGTACAAACGCCATACTATGCAGCTCTGTAGATTTACCACTGCAAAACTACCAGTGATAAACATTCCATCTTTTAACATGACTAAAACACTACTTAATCCAAATTACACTGTTTTTGGTACATACAGTGTACATGTAAAAACAATTATCGCATACACTAGACAGCAAGGCAAGGAAACATTATTTGAATATCACAGTTCATACACAGGGTAATACAAAGTATTTCTGATAAGACAGTGAAGAGGAAATTGCAAAATGAATCTGTATTGTAAAATACACAAAATAAGCACTGAGATAAAAAGTACTAAGATGAAAAGTGAAATAATAAAACTTATGGTGCTTGTTTTAAACAGGAGTTGTCAAAAATCTAAATTGTTTCATTTTGATATACTAACATTGAAGTTCACTGTGTACTTATCTTATGTGTGCTCGCAAAATTAGAAAGAGCATATTTAAAACAGTCAAAAGTTTTATCAAAAGCAGTGGTGAAAAGTTGATGTCCACAGGGGATCAATTGGCATTTATGTTAGAATGCTACATTGAACAATATAAAAAAATCAGTGCTGCTAAAAACCAGCAGAACTTCTGTAAATACCCTGTTTAACTTTCTACCTAATCATCTTAACCTAATGTAACCTACATTTTTCTTTCAGATTTCATATTTCTGTACCTATTTATTACCCTATAATACCTCCTACAACTTTACTGCTGCGATGTTACCTTTATATATCAAATAAACTTCAACCATTTTCACACTTGGACTGTGCAGATACAGTCTGACTGGCTTGCATCTGTCTGTCTGTCCGTCCGTCACAGGATGGAGGAGTCTCTGTGTCTTTCTGCACTGCGATCGCAGTTCTACTCTGTGCCTGCAGGGGGCGCCTTCCCTCCTCTCCACCCCTCTGCCCTCCACTTGCACCTGCCTGGAGGCCGGTACCCCGGAGAACTAAACCACACAGCGCTGGCTGAGAGGTAACACACACACGTGCATGTATGCTCACTCTCTCTCTCTTTTCTCTCTCTCTCTCTCTCTCTCTCTCTCTCGCTCTGTCTGCAGGGCTGTGTAATCTCTCTCTGCAGGGTAGGCACAGGTTGCTGAGTGTCTGATATTTTTAGCACACACCCCACAGTGCCTCCTATACACTCATCACATGCACTGCCCTTCATACACACACACACACACACACTGCACACCCCTACACATACTTATGCACATAAAATCTCACACACATGCATATCCCTTCTTTCTTTCTCTCTATTTAGTTTCAGTACGTTGAGCTCTTTTCTCAGTTTCACAATACACATTGTTTCCCTGTGGCATAATGCGCGGGGGAAATGTTTGTGTTTGAAATGGATGGTATTTATCGTCTGGTTCTGTAATGGCTCCTGTGTATCCTGTAGGTTTGTTTGTGTGCTATTGATTGCTAGTGAATGTGTTCTGCTGCGTGTGTGTATGTGTGTGTGTGCGCAAATGTGGGTCCTTTTCCTGTGGATACCTATTAAGTGTTCATCTGCTCTTGCTCAGTCATACTGTGTATGGATTATTTTCCTCATGGTAAGTGGATAGTGTGTGTGCATATTTGTGTGTGTTTCTGTGAGTGTGTGTATGTTTGAGCAGAAATGTTTGTGTGAGGTTCACCAGTGTGTGGTTAATATCTGCCTCATGTTGGGTGTTGCATCTCTCACCTTCTCCCCCTGTGTGTGTGTTTGTGTGTGTGTGTGTTTGCATACTTGTCAACCTCCCCCACAGGCTACAGATGGAGAATGAGCTCCGCCAGCGAGAGAGACAGCAAGAGCGTGAACGAGAGAAAGAAAGGGAGCGCGAGGCAGGGCTGGAACGAGAGCGGGAACGGGACAGGGAGAGAGAGAGGGAGGAGGAGAGAGGGAGAGAGCGGGAGAGAGAGCTGGACAGACAGAAGGAGAGGCAGAGGGAGAGACAGCAGCAGATGGTCAGAGCGGCGGAGAGCCACTACCTGGCTGAGCTGCAGGCTCGGAGGGCACCACCGGAGGACAGGGCCAGGCCAGGGGAGAGACTGACCCCGAACAGACTGGGTACCTACACACGCGCACGCACTCACATGTGCACACGTACACACACATACATGACCAGATACCCAGAGATGAAGTAACTGGCATTCTGTATAGGGCTGACCCCAAATAATCGAAGATTCGATGCTTCGATGGGCGGAGCCTGATTCCACTGTCAATCTCAGTCGAAGCTTCGCAGCGAAACGGGGATCATGCCATTTTGGTGATATGGGGGTGCTCAACGTCTGATTTTACATAGAACTAACAGTTTTCTCCCAATAAGTTAATATACAGCCTATTACAATATACATTTCAACGTTTAAAGCTGTAAATAAAAAAATGAGAAAATGTTTTTAAAGTGCGTGAATAAAGCCAGAATTGTAACCCTAACCCTCAAGGTAGGGGGCATGTGTAGGCGTAGCATGTGTGAGTGTGTAGTGGCAAAAGAGGAACTTGCTGTAGAGACGGAGCTTTAACTTCACCGTTGTTGTGCAGAGTTATCCACACCTCGCGGGACGTTCGGATCATTTGTCACCGTTGATGAACCACACAAAGAATATTACATCATTTTTAGATAGTACTTGAAATAGACCCGCGAGTAATGGCGATGTGCATGCAGCTGTCGGCTGCACTGCATGCATGCAACATTCTGCACGAGACCAGTGAATGGCAGGTGAGCAGAGAGAAAAGGGTCAACAATAAGACTCAGTTTAGCTGGAAATGTACAGTGTAATTTACAGAGACTAATGAATGGAGACGATTAAAGCGGACCTACCGTGTGTTATCCCCACGCCCGCTCGCAATCGCCGCACGCAAACACAGTACATGATTCGACTATCAGTCGACTATAGGCAAGACTTGACAATTCTGATTTGACCATGTAAATCTTTAATCGGGGACAGCCCTAATTCTGTGTGATACAATCCAACTCAGGTGTAAGCAACATGAAGAAGGAAAAAAAAAGTTGGATAAACCAAATTTTTGTTTAAGTAAATTAATTAAAAAGAACAAACAATGTTGTGTGGAAAGACACTGCTCCTGCAGAGTCTGCTGGCTCAGTCCCCATCCACACTATGGCGTTTTCATTTTAAAACGGAGACCTTTTGTTACGTTTGCACCTCCCGTACAGACTAAAACTGCAAAAACAAAGACCTAAAATGGAGAAATCTGAAAACGCTGCCAACCCCGTTTTCGTTTTAAATCTCTGTGTAGCGTTTCAGTGCGGACGGGCAAAAAACGACTTTAGAAACGATGACCAGACGATCATGTTTGGCTCTCTGATTGGGTCTTATAAGTCATGCAAAGCAGAAACACAATGCTACTGAAATATTTTGTACTGTGCAAATAACACTTACAGCCTACACCTGTACTGTGCATGTCGCCTTTACTTTGACTCCCAGTCTGTTTACCGCCGCCACAGCCACTTTTAACTCCCGTGTTTTTTAAACAAAAACAGAGTAGTGTAGATGGGGCCTCAGGGAGTGAGGAGGTGGAGGAAGGGCCTTTTGTAGGTGGTTGTTAATTGGATTTGGCCCCCTGAAACAGTGAACTAAGGGCAGATACACAAACACTACACAGAACGTGAACTGATTTTTCTCATTTGAAATCAGAGACAGAGAGACACTCCGAAGGACACCTAAATAGTTTTAAGCTTAAGAAGTTTATATTTTTGAATAGTCGCAAATTATAACCTTTTTGTCTTGTTATTGTGACGCGTAAGGATACTTGTGTTGATTAGAAATTGTGCCTATTCAACACTTTGGTTCAGACTCAAATATCTTGACATGTATTGGCCAGATTGCAATGAAATTTGGTATGGATATTTATGGTCGCCAAAGGACAATTACTTATGATCATGGTGACGCCCCGACCTCTCCTCTAGCACAACCATTACGGCTGAATTTTAATTTGTACACAAGCATTTATTACAATCTTTTGGGCAAATTTTACATTAAAATTTAACCTGCTTTTCAAAATTTTCCTCTGGTGTCACCCTCAGGCCAAAAATGTCAACTCTGCCCCCAAGTGATCTCATAATCTAAACTAAAGCAGACTGTTGTGAAATTTGCTGACTGCAGAAATGTTTGCCAACACTGAAACTGCTTATAGTAACTGCTTGACCTTTACCATCGTGGGTTGGTGTATGTGTATGAAGTTTACTATGTTTGAATCTTGAAATTGGATATTGTGCCTTTTGTGTTTTTTTGAGTGCTTTTCCTTATACTGGATTCACATTCACAGTATTGTAAACACAGTAGTCAGTTGTGCAGTAGCAGTAATTGCACATCAACTTGTTGCACAGTGTTTCGCTGTTTTAAGATGAGCTGTCTCAGATGAATTAAACTATGTACCTGATCATAGTGCCACATTTAGGAAAATATTTTATTTCTTACCATACAACTAGTAAGGCTATAACTATAATAATAAATATAAAATTATGTAAGTCTAATATTATTATTATTTGTGACCCATCATCTTGTACACCCTTGTCACTGCAGTGTAAGATGATGAATGATCTCTGAATATTATAGAACAGATGTTTTGCTGTTCATCCAAATGTCTACAGACATAGTACTGTGACCGTGACTCGTCTAAGAACTAACTCATGGTCTCCAAACTCCACTGTTTTTCAGATAAAACCAAGGATTCAGAGCACCCAGGTTTCCCAGCACCCAAACCTCTCTCCCTGCAGCCTGGCCTACACTCCTCCAGGGGCTCCGTCCCACACCCAGTGCCCAGCCTGGTGCCTTCTCACCTGGGGAAGCATCATGCTGCTGCTGCTGCTGCTGCTGCTGGGGGGATCCACGGTGCTCTGACAACAGCTGCCATGATGACTCAGAGGGCCAGCGAGGCAGCGTGGTTAACACGGCAACGAGGACAAGGCCAGGAGAGGGAGGGTCCGCTGGAGATGGGCCTCAGGTCACCTGGGAAAGGTGTCGAGCCGAGGAGAGACAGCCACAGGTGAAAATGCCTAAAGAATGAGCTTTAGAAAATTATTTATACTTTTATAATGTCACTCAGTGTGGCGAGAATTTAAATGAAATTTTTTATTTTGCTTTTGTTTTCCTAAACAGAACCAATTTAGTCCATCACAACCCAGGCAGCAAAGATATACCTCAATGCCTCGGTGCTCCACCTCCCCTTATCTCCCCCAAAGGTCCTCATCATCCCCCTGCCCCTCCAACTACACTGTGGAACCCAGCCTCCCTTGTCGACACCCCTGCAGACTCCCGCAGAACACTTAACCCTCCTACGCCGCCAAGTCGGCCTCCTCCAGGACTGACCAGAGCCGACAGGGCCCCCCTGAGCTGGGGGGAGAAGCTAGAACAAGGAGGCAGGAGGAGGGCAGAAGGCACAGAGAGGTACACCTCCCTGAGGGGGGCTAGTTTACATGAAACAGGCTCCTGGAACAAGGCAGAGCAGGACAGAGCCATCCAGAGCCTCTATCACCGGCACCACATCAATAACCTCCACCAGAGATCCAGTGTGACTCTGCCTGCTCCAGGTACCTGCACTGACCCGGGGGGGCGGTGCCAGGTTGCCCCTCCGTCTCCGGTGAGGGAGCGACAGAGTCAGCCGCCCGACAGCATGCTGGTGTATGACGAGGTTCTCCAGCAGCACCGCCGGCTGCTCAGCAAGCTGGACCTGGAGGAGAAGAGGAGGAGAGAGGCCAGAGAAGGAGGTGAGGAGGATTATGAAGGATAAATAGGAGGCATGTAGAAGTGTGTAAAGAAGGGGATTTATGAGCAGGAAGGGGAGTGGTAGGCACAAGAAAATGACTATAGGGAATAGTTTAGTTTCACACACGCAATTTCTTTATAATGAAAAATAATTTCTCTCTTACCAGGTTTTTACTATGACCTGGACGAGTCATATGATGAGAGTGATGAAGAGGAGGTGAAAGCCCATTTGAGGAGAGTGACAGAACAGCCCCCGCTGAAACTGGACTCATCCTTTGAGGTGCATAAACACAGACAGACTTTTAACATGCGTTCATCACAGACTGCATATATACGTATTAGATTGATATTCACCTGACCAAATTTCTCTCTCCTCAAAGAAAGTGGATTTTCTGCATGTGTGTGGTCTGACCACACTGGCCCATCGCGATGAGCTTCTGGCACAGAAGAGGAGGAAGAGGAGGCGGATGATGAGAGAGCGCAGCCTGTCTCCCCCGGCTGTGCAGGGCAAAAGAAAGGCCTCTTCACCTTCCGCACCTGCAACTCCCTTAACCACCCCGTACTCTGCTGAGGAGATGGACAGCACCCCCAAACTGGAGGAGAAAAAAAACTTCCTCCATATGTTCAACCTCTCCCATGTCAGCCCACAGCAGAGGAGAGGTAACAACCTGTTTGGTATCCGCACACATCCTACGTGCTACTCTGATCTCTTCACAGTTGTTCTGGTGATTCCACGTGGAAAATTACAACACACAGTTTCTCTCTGTTTTATTTATTTACTGAGGCTGTAGGAAGGGTGAGAAGAAAATAAAGTTAGGGTGCATCTGTAGAGGAGGTTGTGGCAGGATTTTCTACATTCTCCAGCAAGGGTGGATTTTAATCCGCAGCCTATTAAAATAAAGTATCAGTTAAGAATGTGTATCTGCAATGTAAAAATGTAGATATGCACATATAAATATACATGTGATGGAGAGTTTTTGTACTATATGCCAGTAACACTGCAACAAACAGTAGTTTTGCAGGCATGTAATTGTGTATTTAATAAACATAGAGCTCATTATTTTCCACTGTTTATTTTTAAGAATCCAGAAATTTGGCTGTGCTTATTGTAAATTTACCTAAAAATCATGTAAATCTGATAAAAAGAACCATAATACAAAATAAACTGGTAAAAATGTCCATTTGTTGCTTAAAATGTATTCTTTATTACTTGCTCACTGGTGCATAATCTACAGCTCATTTGCGCTTTTGTTTATTTTTTTTAGGTAAAAGCCTTTATTAAACTTGTAATCTTGCAGCCTGTCTGTAATGGTTTTGAACCGGATACTACCTCAAGCCACCCATTTGCTGACCTTTCTCCATCTTTTTTCAAATATGACTGACAGGTGTTCTCATTATGTGTCTTTTCTCTTTTAGATAAGGAGAGGACAGAGGAGCTGCTGAAGGCCATTCAGAGGAAGACTGTGACATTAGACACACTCAGATATAATCCTTTACCTCCGTATAGCAGCCCTCCTGCTCCCTCATCTGGTGAGACAGACCACGCCACATGCTTACATTTATATGCATGTTTAAAGTTGCAAAAACTTTTTCTAAGAGACTGTACAAATGTGTTTTTTAGGTGACCCCTCATCAGCCCCTCTGCAGTGCCCATTTAATGGAAATCTGTTCCCAGACTCTCCCAGCCCCTCCCCTCCCTGCTTACACAAACCTAAGCATCGCCTCCATAACGATGCATTCAAACCTTCCACGGACACCCACGGGGCCCGCATCCCTCCGCCCTTGACCCTTCATCATGAAAAGGCTGAATTCATGGAGGCTCAGCCAAACAGGAAGCTCCAGGGCCTCCAGAACGGTGCTGTTGCTTCTCCTCAGAAAAAGGAGCCCAATCCTGTGCAGAACGGACGGAATCGGCCCTGGGAGAGGTTCACACCTGAGGCCTTTGCTCAGCACTTCCACCAGGCAGTGCTGCAGTCCACACACAACACACTGCAGAACAAAGGTTAGTCACTCACTCCCATGACCATTAGGCTTGATTGTGAATTTTAAAATGACAAAGTTCTGCCACCTAGTGGTGTTTAGGTGCATTAACAGTTCAAATGCATTATCAGTGTGATATTGGCTGCTTGAGAGGTACAATACTAAAAATGACTGACACTGCCTTTTTGTCTCACTCTTTTTCTTCTAAGGAGTCTCAAATTGTGTCCCAGAGGCCGACCGTTCGCTGCCTCACAGTATCTCTCAACTAAAAAGTTCAAGTCATAACCCTGCCCCTCAGCATGCACACGTCAACGGCCATCACTTCCATTTCCCTGCAGCCAGCAGGGACACTCCAGGACCACGGGAAAACCTGTCTGACGAGGACGAGGAAGAGTCTGGTCAGGAGGAGGAAGATGAGGAGGAGGAGGAGATGGAAGAAGCTCCAAGGAAGTGGCAGGGCATTGAAACTATTTTTGAGGCCTACCAGGAGTATGTGGATGGTGAGTCAACGTCCTACCTATAAATGTCAGCTTTATGTATGTAGCCCAACAACTGCAAGTTTGGCTTAAACGTTTAAGGTTTCACTGAATGACCGAAGCCCTTTTGGAGATTTTAGTATTTGTTCTTGAATTATTTTCAATGTACAAAGTCAATAATCTAAAGGAGATTTTCTCAAAGAGAAAAACGTACTAGAAAGCGTTTTTATAAAAACATTATATGGATTTTGGAGGTTGATGCTAATATTGATATAAAAATCCAGAAACAGGTCTAGTAAGAATCCCTTATATATGGTTATAAAAGAATTGTGATGAAGATATTTACAGCTGAAAAATATAGATAGAATATTTTATTTTTGAGTATTTTATTTCATCTGTTAGTGCTGTATCTGAGGTCCTTTTTTCCTCCCAATATTCAGTTTGGACTAACAGAGTTACAGCAGTTGTGCAGCAGCTGTGTTATCTTCACTATTCTGTGTTCTGAGTTGCACTACGGGACTTGAGAAGTAATTGCTTGGTTATCCACAGTTACAGCGATTTGTTTCTTTCAAGGTTGAAGTGCTGTTATTGTTACCTTAGAAAAAAGATCTCTGCAACACCTATTTTATTTTAGACTGTCTCTTATTTGTTTTTGAGACACAGTAGATTTATGACAAATGATATAGAGGTTTTGATGGAAACAATAAAAGAGAGAGCTTAAGCTTTTGTTGGGGCCTCATATATTTTTGTTTGAGGGCCAGATTTGGCCCACGGGCTGGACTACACTGTACTCTCTGGTTCTTTGTGTGAAAGAGGTATTATGTGTGAATGGTATAATCTCCCCTCATTTGTGTTTTCTGTTGTGTATTTCTCTCTGTACAGAATGGAGTACAGAGAGGCAGGTTCTTCACGGTCAGTGTAAAAGACTTGAAGCACAGAATTACAATCTGACCAGAACTGCAGAGCAGCTCTCTCTCACTATGGGGGTAAGTATCTGCGACTGTACAATGCGTGCCTGCCTCTTTATGTTTTGCAGATGTGTGTACTTTCATCTTTCAGCGTCAGTGTTCCCATTTTGTTACTCCTGTTTGTAAGTGATGAGGTTTAGCGCGGAAAGTCTCAGTTCTGTAACAAGAGTCGTTTCCGTCTTTCATTTGTCAGGAGCTGGTGAGTCAGAGGCAGAAAGTGAGAGAGGAGAGGGAGAGACTGCAGGCCCAGCTCGAGCACTTCAGGAGGTGTTTGACACTACCTAACATTCACTGGGGCCGGGGACAAGTCAACGGGCACACGCCGAGGTGACGTCTGACACCAACTTTGACAAATGCGCCTCTGACAGCAAAGGAACAGTAACAAGAACAAGACTGGAGCCAGACCACTCTCTGCACTTGAAGGAGCCAATCCTTGTCTTGTTATCCTTTTGGCCAATAATTTCTGTTACCTGACTGGCTCAATTGATTACCTGCCACGGTGACCATATAGTTTGGGCATTCCCACATTCTCTCATGCTGCCCGTGGATTGTAACTACACTGTGTAGGTGAAACAGCACCTTTGTAACGCTAACCACTTACACTAGTCCCTGAGTTGGCTTTAAGAACTTTCCACCATTTTTGCTCATATCATATCAACTGTATTGATCCACACTAATGAGATGTATCGCTTGACACAAATCTGTAGCCTCTCTGGACAGCAGTGAGAAGAGACTAAGCGTGCAGTGGTCACTTTGTTAATACTCAGAGATTGAAAATTGAGTCATTGAATCAAAGCACACCTCAGGCCTTAAACTTGACAGGATGCACTTGAAATGGAATTGGAAGAAATACTTGACCGTCCTCTGTGTGGTACAATGGTGTAGTGTCTACTGAGCACTGTAGCTGACTGATGAAGCAGTGTGTGTGCTGGTAAAGTTTCTGCAGAGGATAGGAAACATCTAAAAGATTTTATCTATATAAAGGCAAATGGTATCAATGAAGTTTTTGTTTAAGGTTTAATACATTTTCCATTGGTAATGTCACTCGTGATAGACAAAGAATTTTGTATGTTTTTATTGTTTTAACCATTTCTTGTGGGAAGCCATATGTTTTGTTTGAACTGCTGCTGGTCAGAATAAAAATGTTTAGAAAATGAAGGATGTCGTTGTATTTGAAAAAATGTTAAGTGATGTCAAAAAGTTTGGGGGTTGACCAAGAGACATAGGGGACAGAAGACGACATGGCAAATATCAGTCTTTGTCTCACAACATTATCAAGTCGACCATCAACTGTTCAGATGGTTTATCCCAGAGTCTGTGTCCTAAACCCTCCACATGCCTAAACATGGTAACAAAACTTGAAGAGGATAGAAGATGGGATTTTTTAAAAAAGGCCTTTTGCATCATTCTTTATGTTCTTTGGCATCACTTGAGTGGAACTACATTACGTTTAGACATATTGTCAAATGTTTTCACCTACCTGAAGGTGATTTCTTGTGGCATTATTTTTAAAAACCAAGTTGAAGTGATTTTGTTAAAGAAACAGAAAAGCCAAATTATTATTCAGTTCCATTTCAGGACTATGTCAAAACTAATAAATGAAATATTTTCACTGGATACTCTTAGAGTACTTGAAACAATTATCTGATTGTTTGAGTGACAAACATCTGAATGACACTACCCCTCTGTGGATAACCATAAACTGCATCTCCTCTGGTGTTTTGATGAGATCTATTTTTGTTCAAGCCAGATAAAACAATGTCACGAATTCATGATTTCTGCTTCTTTTCCTTTGAATATTAAAATCCCAGGAGCCCATTCCTAGAAGCACAATCTCCCAAAATCACCTGACCTTCCTGCGTCACCTGTTCAGTCTCCCCTACAAACTTGCTGTGAAATCCAGCATATTTGTTTCAATCAGTTGTTATGTAATGTATTATTTGGGTTGTATAATTGTGATGAATTATTTATTAACATATATTGCTGTATATTCTGATGGAAATTTACATTAAAATATTTGCAAAATGTCTTTTATCGGCCATTGTCATGTATCTGGAGAGAGTTTTCACTCCTTATAAATATTTAACAGTAGTCTATGTTTGCATTTCCACACTCATGAATACTGAGTCTTCTGATGCACTTGCTTTTGAATAATTATAGACTATTGTCTCTAATCCTGAAACCTTGATGTACAGAACAGCTTTTGAATTCACAGTGGCAAATGAAAAAATTGAAAACTCCAATGTGTCAGACCCTTCATCCGTAAAAATATTTACTAGCTACAAAATGTGTCATGAGTCATTATATTAGCTGAATTTGATAATACGTTTTTACAGGACGTGGTTCCATGAACACATTGAAGGGACACCAAGCTTCTGCTGTGGACGTGGTGTTTATATTTAACATCATTACCATTACAGTTTTCATTGTTTTAATAACAAACCTGGACATGCACTCTAGATAATTAACTCTTTGTCACTGTGCCACTGTCAGCATCTTACCCCTGAGATTTTTTCACCCGACATAAAAACAGCACCACACATGAGTTTAATCGAAATGTAGACATCTAATTAATTTCATGAAAGAAAGAATAGTCTGTGGTCTTTAAACAGCAGGAGCAGAATCATCATCCCTATGGTATATAATGCAAACAAATACATTTTTGATAGTTTGCTCCCTTGAAATAGTTATTGAAGTGGACAGTTTACTTGTCATACGATGTAATTAACGTCCACATGAAAAGAGGCTGTGGAGTGAAAACCATCCCTCCAAAAAGTATTCCCCTCATTTTGTGATTCGATAATGGCAGTTGATGGTGCTGTCACTCCAAAATCTAAAATGGGTGTTTAATTGGGTTGAGATAAAGTGTCTCTGAAGGCCATCGCATATGATTCATTTTCATACTCATCAAGACATTCAGTGACCTCTTGTGTCATGCGGATGGGGGTATTGTCACCTGGAAAAGACGGCTCTCATCAAGACAGAAGTGTTTCAACGCGGGATATAAGCAGTGGTGGAAAGTAGCTAAGTACATTTACTCTTGCAGTGTACTTAAGTACAATTTTGAGTTCTTGTACTTGCTTGAGTTTTTCCATTTTATGCCACTTTTGATACTTCCACAGCATTTCAGAGGAAAACGTGTGTTTTACTTCGCTGCATATATTTAACAGCTATAGTTACTACTTTGTAAATTAAAGGCCCTGCACACCCACACATGTGTTTTCAATTACCTGGCTGATTGGAATTCTGTTCACATTTGCATCAGTAGTAACAATCGGTCCATCCATCCATCCATCGTCAACCGCTTATCCTGCATACAGGGTAGCGGGGGGCTGGAGCCAATCCTAGCTTACATTGGGCAGGGTACACCCTGGACAGGTCGCCAGTCCATCGCAGGGCTATCAAATCTATCATATGTACCTAATGATGTAACACTGACGGGGCCCATTGTGAACAATGAGTTATTTTACTTTGATACTTTAAGTACATTTGTCTGATAATAGTTCAGCATTTGTATTTATAATACATGATAGTAAATATCTTCCTATATGGAATTATCTGCATTTGTTATGTGACTACATATACTTATGTACAGGACAGAATGTAACAGAATGTAACAGAATGAACACGGACGATCTAGTAAGTACCGTGTGATTACGAGCAGCTTTATTTCACAGACTTATTCAATATCAACACAAAGACATGAACTGTAAGAAATACGGCTAAACAGAAAACATAGATTAAGGCGACATATTTGAGTTCCAAGTAGAAAAAGAGAGGTTATGCAGAATATGGAGCTATTTAACCAGGAGAAAAGATATTTTGCCTGGATAAAGCAACTGCATGTGACAAATTAATGGCTGACTCTCATGGAAATGTCCAGCAGCTATTCACATGGGTTCTGGATGACTATCAGCAGAAAGTCATTTTCTGCAGACACATAAAAGAAGAGAAGATAGGATATACAAATGTAATTAAAACAGTAGACCTCTTCCAAGTTACAGCTGTTAGCTGAAATATTACATGCTTCTTTCAGTGATCATCATTAAGTCAACAACACCACTGCAACTACTACAAACTCACCTGGTGCAACCAAGATCTCATGTTTCTTGGAGCGGATGCGGAGGAAGGTGAGGTCATTCTGAGGGTCAATATCCCTCACTGTGCTCCTGGCCTTCATCGTGAGGTGGCGAAGGAGTCCTGCATACTGTACAGTTGTGGAGTTATCTAAAGTTGTTCTGATGGGAATACCTGAAAAAATAAAACACTAACCTTTACAGTCTGACTTTATTGCAAACATGCTGAATCTGGGAAAACAACTGTGATTTTTTGCTTACCTTCTGCATTGACAACTATTGTCCCAATCACACCTTTATGTGCTTCAATCCTCTTCAGTGTTTCCTCAACTTCAGCCTACAGGACAGAATTAATTGAAAGGCTTGATAAATACATAATAATAATGATAATGAAATCAAACTGTATAATATGGCAGAATCTGCTAGCTAACAGTAGGCTAATAAACGGCAACTTTAAGGATGTTTGATTTGATTTCAGTGAAGTTAATAGTTAGCAAGGGCAGTACTAATAAGGTAAGTTACATGTTATAGCTAATATGATTGATGCGGTTTCAGTTTCTTTCGTTAATATAAACATTAATGCAATAGTGACACGATGGAATATAAATTTAGGAAAACATTTCCGACAGAAAACACAGTAAACTGCGAGCACAGTCCCTACCATTTTGCCTGTGAACTGCTGCCTGCGACAACTCTTCTGCCTTTTCTCCGCGTCTCTCTGTTCCCAAGGAGAAGCGGAAGGGACGTAAGACGCAAGCGGAAGTGCAGCGTAGCAGTCATTGTGTGGAGGTGTGTGGTTGTGAGCTGTTTATCTTTACTGCAACAAAATGCCGGAGTTAGCGGTGGAAAATGTGGTCGTTCATCCCCTCGTGTTGCTCAGCGTGGTCGACCATTTTAACAGGTCAGTAAGTTTAATATCTGCGTTCGGTCTTTACAAAGGCTGGACGTTTTAAAATGTTCAGAATTGTACCGTTGATGGTATGCTAAGCTAATGTTAGCCCTGCTGAGTCAGAGTCCCATTGAGAGTGAATTGAGACATGACCAGGCTAGTTAGCTCAGTGAAATTAGTTTAGTTCGTCACCTAGCCAGTGGTAGTAAACAATGTTTTAACATATCAGTAGGATTGATTAGTAGTAACTCGTTAGTAAGTTACGTACACACTAGTAGCACGATCTTGCCGTTCATTTCATTAGCGATTGACAACATGAAGATTTTGTCATTAGCTTAGCTCATCTTACTCCGTCTATGTTCTGAATCAATAGGGCGTTAAATTCTTACAAAACTGTGTTAAACTAATTTGTTTTGTTCATTTTTGACAATTCAATCCACAGGATAGGAAAAGTTGGCAATCAGAAACGAGTGGTTGGTGTCCTTCTGGGATCATGGCATAAAAAGGTTCTTGACGTCTCAAATAGTTTTGCAGGTGAGCGACATGGTGACAGCATTTGGGGGAGACAAAAACATAATCAGCCACACAAAATCATGTCTAAAACATACCCATATGAGTAACAGATTCAATAAAGAACAGTTATAAATCTAATTGAAGCACGGGAGTCTTTGATATGTTGAATTTTAGTCTTTATTATGATACAAACTTTGAAAAGACTGGATCTTTCACTTCCAATAATGCAACTCGGTATAGTAGTATCTTTAATTTGACCGTCCCTGCCCGCTAATGATCTTTCAAACTTCTTCTTATCCCAGTTTGTAATGCAGGTTTTCTATTATAAAGATGTAGCATTCAATCCTAAACTAGGAAAACCCAGATGACTTCATCAGAGGTAGTTTCTAGGCAACTTTAATTCAATTCAGTGTGCTTTACAGGGTACAATAAATATAACAATGGTAAAAGATTTTCAATTTGTGCACAAGTACAGGCAAGCTCTACAAGAATGGGCATTTTAAAAATCAAGTGAAAATAAGAGAACACAGAAATTATGCCCACATTTAGATGCACAATTAAATGTGCAAATTTAAACAAATAAAAATGAAGGCTATCGAAAGCATTTTAGACTTCACAAAGCTCACTCCAGAGCCACTGAAAATACTCATGTTACACAACTGTTTTCACAGGCCAAGTGGAAGTATGTATCATGTGGAGGGCCCCTTTTAAGATATTTAAATATGCATTAGATAGGGTTTTACTGTTGACTCATGACTGCTGTAGCAAAACATGAATTTATTATAAAAGTCAGCAAATGTTGAAAGTCTGCCACTAACAGAGTCTGTTAATTCTTTAATTCACTGTCAATGTCCCTCTCCAGTGCCATTTGACGAGGATGAAAAGGATGACTCGGTGTGGTTCCTGGATCATGACTACTTGGAGAACATGTATGGCATGTTCAAAAAAGTTAATGGTAAGACACTTCCTATTTCAATGTAAGTTGTGTTTTACTTGACTATGTTAGCCTGATTTTAAACTTGTGAATACCTGTCTTCCTTGGCTTTCAGCCAGAGAAAGAATAGTTGGATGGTACCACACAGGACCCAAGTTACACAAGAATGACATTGCTATCAACGAGCTCATCAAGCAGTACTGCACCAATTCGGTATGTAACTACCCCCCCCCCCTTTAATGTGCATTAGGACATCACATTGTTCTACACGTTTTCTTTCTAATGTAGTGAGTAACTCACTCACATATTTCTCTTTTATCCTGACAGGTATTGGTCATTATAGATGTAAAGCCCAAAGATCTTGGTCTTCCCACAGAAGCATACATCTCTGTGGAGGAAATACACGACGTAAGTAAATCATGGATTGCATTGTAGCAGATAGAATTCCAGTGTTGAGACTGAGCAGTGTTTCGGAGAGAATTTTTATTGAATTATAAATTACATGATTTATACATTTCCATTTGTGTGACTCTGACAATGCATGCAGGAGTTCCTGAGCACCCAATTTACAATTAATTAGATTCTTATTCTGTTTCATTTGTCCAAAAGGTAAATTGTAAAGCACATTGAATTTGGAGGCCACTATATAGCTGTATTATGTTTCCCTTTTTTTGTCTGATTTGTTTGAAAGTATTCCCAAGAAAGGTGACAGTCTGCACTTCAGTGTTATCATCCTGTTACATCTGTTGGTTTCAAATACTGCATTTTTCAGTTTTATTTTTTTTTAGTATCTTAGTTGAACACAAACCTTAGTTTAGAGTAAAGTTAGAATTATTTTCTTTGTTGTGTTTTACTATTACTAGGATGGCACTCCAACATCCAAAACATTTGAACATGTCACCAGTGAGATTGGAGCAGAGGAAGCAGAGGAAGTGGGTGTGGAGCACCTGCTCAGGTACTACACAAAGCTTTGATTAACACACTTTTCCACATGTGACAGACATTTTAGTCACCACAGTAAGTAATTGTGATTACAGTACTGAGTGTAAATGATACAACTCTGCTACTACTTTATTATAATCACCAAAATCACCAAAAAGCAGAACCAACTGATTCAAAATTCAACAAATGAAAACTCGCTGCAAAAGAATAAGATATTCATACTCTTTCCTAATCACTTCTCATCTGCTACACCGTCTACAGAGATATCAAGGATACCACAGTGGGCACTTTGTCGCAACGAATCACAAATCAGGTTCACGGCCTGAAGGGACTCAACTCGAAGTTGCTGGACATCCGCTCTTACCTGGAGAGAGTGACAGCAGGCAAACTTCCCATCAACCATCAGATCATTTACCAGCTGCAAGACGTCTTCAACTTGCTGCCAGACGTTAATCTGCTGGTAAGCTGTTTGTGTTTGAGATGCATTTAGTTCTTATTTGTTTACTGTAATCATTGGAGGGAAATTTGTGTCTTTTCAACTGTAGTGAAGCTAATTTCACTTGATTTTAAGTGGCGTCTGCACTAGTCAAACTTTCTTACTGTATGTGATGTTGAGAGGTGGATTTTCACAGTGAATTAAAGCTGCTGCTATTTGTTGTTAGAAGGTGTATTGACATCCGTCCTGTTCACTGACTTGTTACAATTACAACTACTACAGAATTTTGAGTAAATGCAGTGAACTAAAGAGACGCGGCGAGAAAAACACAAAAAATAAGCAGAAAAAATAAAATTTATATTTTTAGCTTTCATCAGTATCTTCTCATTTTATCCACTGGAGGGCAGAGTCGGGTTTAGTGAGACATACAGCTCCAGCACATTTGTGCTCAAATGTTAACTAGTATGAACCCTAGTTCCTAACAAAGAAATGTCACCTGTGGGCAGTATTTTATTACTTGGGTTGACATTGGCTGTAAATTAAATTTTATGACAGACTTTAAACTATTCCGTTCTGTAGTTCAATTTTTTTAATTCAGTTAGCAGTTGATTTGTTGATAAAATACTGAACCACCAGAATAATTCTTGATTGCATTCCTGTGATTTACCAGTAAAATAATGGCATAAACCAGACCTCTACGATAAATACCTGCTTGTTTCATATCTGAATAAAAATCCAGTTCTGTGTTTGTTTGATCCATCAATAGTTTCAGCATAAAATTACATCACAGAAAGCCACCAGATCCTTGTTAATGTCTTCATATGGATATGGTGTGTGCTGTATTGTTTTAGACAGTTGCTGAATATTCTGTTTTTGTGTTTGCAGGAGTTCACAAAAGCCTTCTACCTTAAGACCAATGACCAGATGCTGGTGGTCTACTTGGCCTCGCTCATACGCTCTGTGGTGGCTCTGCACAACCTGATCAACAACAAGATTTCCAACCGCGACGCGGAAAAGAAGGAGGGACAGGAAAAGGAGGAAGGCAAGAAAGAGAAGAAAGATGACAAAGAGAAAAAAGATGAGAAGGACAAAGACAAGGAGAAGGAAAAAGCGGACGGTGCCAAGAAAGATGAGAAGAAGAAAAAATGAGTGTGCTTCCTTATTAAGGTCTTCTCTCAAATCATGCCGTCTTCATCCGGATGGTGCTCTACTTTCTGCCCACAGTCACAGCTCTGTATGTCGGTCTCAGGCTAAAAGTAGGACTCTATATGGGGAATGGTGTCATTTGAGATTTGGCATCACTGTCACAAGTGGCACTCATAAAGACTTATCGTACAGAGATGATGATATTTGCGTCTTTGGTGTTCTTAACTATGAGAACATGTTTATTCTGTTTTCATAGTTTCCATGCTTCTGGTGTTGTACAACACCTGGTATTGCATTTTTGTAAGATGGAAAAAAATGTTTTGTTTCTGTTGTCACTCATTAAATTGGGAACATTAAAAATGTGTTGTTTTTGCAGTTTTCGCTCTTCCTATTCTGTCGTTCTAAATTTAAACAGTTGTTAAATTGTTGTTTAAAGGACATACCTGTAGGCTGATAGTGGTTGTTTTGAGATCAGATTTAACATGGAGAGAGAGAGCTAACTTAGGACAAAGACAGGATTGAACAGACTACTTGTGTGTAAATATTTTCTACAGGGCAGCATAAATTCCGTGGTGCTCAAGATTGGCAAACTTATTAAAGAGAAGTCTTTTAGAGGTTTAACACAAGATACAACAAAATAAGTCAATGATTAAAGTGCTCAGTGCTTTATTATTTGAATGTGTACATTTTCAAGTGGGCAGACCCTATCAGCTGATGAAGATTATGCCATAGAATTAAAAGCTCAAACAGTTTCTAAGTTGATCTTTGGGCTATATTGTTCAGTCAACGTGTGTGTGTATATATATACACATACACACACACATACACACGATATGAGATGTAGTTCAACTAAATGTAATGTTAAGGTGAATTGTTATCTTGGGACATTTGGATTAAATACGTCTATAAAAAGTAGTCTAACACTACAGAGCACAGATGCAATGTAAACACACACACAGGGAGCAGTGTTGTGCTTTTAGTGAGGAGAGGCGTTAACTGTCGTCCGTTATATTTTTAAAACTGCGTCATCGGAAGCTTCTCCCCACCGCTTGCAGTCAGTGCATCGCCTTCTCAGTTACCTAAACATGCAGTAGTAGTAGTAACAACCAGTGAAGAGCATTTTAAGCTCAGGTTGTGTCGGACAAATCAGATTATTGGGATGGTAAACGGGATTCTGACGTAAAGGACTTAAATCCCGGCAGAGGATCGTCGCCTGTGCTGCGCGAGCTCGCTATATCATCAGCAGTCCGTCGGTGCGGAGGAGAGCGGCTCGTGCCACCTACAGTCAACAAACCCTCCTCTTGCCTCTCAGGACCTGAGCATGACTCCTCAGATATTTCGCTGCGACTGAAGAGGACGGACGACCGCCGGCCGGTAACATGGCTTCCTATCTGCAGGTGAGGCTTTAAATTTGCTGTGTTTGCTGCCGGTTCGGTATTTTGATAACTTGTCCACTTGTCAGGGTGTGGTTGTACCGTAGGCCTGTCTGTTATATGCCCGTTAAAGGTGGCACAATCAGCATTTGATTGAGTGTTTCAGCGTGTTATGTCCATTAACCCTCCTCCTCCAATCTCAGTCACGTGTGTGCGGGGGTAAACAGGTGGTTGAGAGGGGAGAATGACTGCTGTGATTAAACGCGTCTTGGGCGCATGGTCATCTGTCAGCGTCAGTCGTTTTGCACTGTGTTGAAGAGATGTCTTCCTCTTGTTTCAGATCGCTGATGATGAGAAGGGCCATGAACTAGACCTTTTCTGTGTCCCCAGACATTATGAGAACGATTTGGACAAGGTGATCATCCCCCATGGACTCATCATGGACAGGTAAACAGTCAACAGCAACCCCTGCCCCCCTCCAGCACCAGCACCAAACACTAGAAATTACTCTGCCAAGTCACCTGACACACTCGCTCTCTGGGTCTTACTATTTCACAGACTCTGACACACACATTAATGCTAGGATTAACACTATAGCCTACTGTATTTGTTTAACAAATTGCTGTAGTGCACATCCTGATGTGCATTTGAATGTGAAGGACTATAACAACAGCACTGCATTCACTGTTGCCTTGTAATGTACGATGCATCCTTTCTCTCCCTGCTTTTTACCGTTTTGTGTGTCCCACCTCTCTGGTCCAGGACAGAGCGTCTGGCCCGCGACATTGTCCGGGACATGGGGGGACACCACATCGTAGCACTGTGTGTGCTAAAAGGGGGCTACAAGTTCTTTGCAGACCTCCTGGACTACATTAAGGCACTGAACCAGAACAGTGATAAATCAGTCCCGCTGACAGTGGATTTCATTAGGGTGAAGAGCTACTGTGTAAGCTGCCTTTCCTCATTACCAGAAACCACTTGTGCTAATGTGAGGTGTGTGATATGAAGGTTGGCAAAATACAAATGAGAGTATTGAGTATCTTATCAGAAATGGGCCACTGCAGTGTTCCCAGGGTGGAGTTCAATGTATAGACATTTAAAAAAAAAAAAAAGAAAAAGTAAGGTAGATTTAATGGTGAGTATTTTTCTCATGATCCTAGCAAAACAAATAAAAGGTTAATATAAACTGAAACTGTAATCAAACTGAGATGGATGATTGTCCTCTCCTCTTTGTGTTCCCTAGAATGACAAGTCAACAAACAGTGTCAGAGTCATAGGAGGTGACGAGCTGTCCAACCTCTCAGGCAAGGTTAGTCTACTGGTGTCAGGCAGAAATACTTTGGCCATAAAGTCTTTGTATAGATATGTATTTCATCAACTTTTTTTTTTTCCCCCCCTGCAGAATGTTTTGATTGTTGAGGTAAGACTTTTCTTTTTTTATTCTGTATTGTGTTTGGGCAATATGAAAATAATTCATATTTATAGTGTGATATCAAGATGCTGTCTAACATGATATTGTAGACTTTCTAGAAAACTGACAATGCTGGTGCTTTATAAGGATAATGCTGAAATCATTTCAGTCTGATCCAATACTGCCATACATCGGTCCTGCTCACTGATTTGAAATATTGCTCATGCTATAAATACCTGAAAGGCATAAACACCAGTTCTTATTCGGTTTGTTCATCTTTTAAAAATGAAATATCAGATATCATCAAAAAAAAAAATGATTTGGGTTAAAAATACTCTGTTGTACGAGTTGTTTATATGCCACATTTTGAAGAAATGCTTCTCTTTGTTTGTGCCTCCACTTTAATGTGACCACTTTCTGTGTTCTGCATTATAAAAAGGATATTGTGGAGACTGGAAGGACGATGCAGACGCTACTTTCCCTGCTGAGCGAATGTAATCCCAAGATGGTTAAAGTTGTAAGGTAGGCACACTTTGTGTTTACAGCTTACAGTCCAGAAATTAAAGACCTCCACTATAACTGGCTGCTATGTCTGCAGAGAGAGTGCATATAACAGTGCTCTTAGCTAATGGACATTCTGCTTTAGGACTGTATTAGAGATGTAATGTGACGGAGGGAGAGAGCAGCTTAAGAGTTAATCTGCCGTACTATTAACTGCACTGTGGAGGCAGAGCTCATTTCTCTGATGTATTCCTGGTAGCTGGTTGAAACAGGAAATGTGTTGAAGTAATGTAGGTTTTCTCTGATACTTCCATAAACTGTAGTAGTCTTTGTTTGATCTGCTGTATATGGGTAGGGTCATTTCTATTGCTTTGATGTAGCTTATATAATATTAACTCACACACACACACACCTAACCCACCCCAATAAACAGTGGGGAGAAACTCAAATTGCCTGTTGCTCAGGTCAAGTATTTTCATTTAGGACCATTTTTTTAATGTAAAAATCATAGACTGTACTGTGTATAAATTGAGGAGTCTCACAGCCTTGGGGAAGAAGTTCTTAAGTCTGGAGGTGCGACGGCAGATACTTCTGTATCTCTTGCCAGACGGCAGCGGGGTCAACAGGCTGTGGCTGGGTGGGAACTGTCTTTTCGTATCCTTTGGGCTCTGCATAGGCATCTCACCTCACGGATAACCCTGATGCTCTACCAATGAGCGTCTTCTGAGTGGTTTTAATCACACACTGCAGAGCCCTTCGGTTCTGGGCCGTGCACATCCCATGCAAGCTTGTGATGTTTCCTGTCAGGAGGCTTTCTATTGCTCCTCTGTTAATGTCAACAACAACTTGGCACGCAAATTTAGACTTAAGTTTCCTAAAGAAATGCAGTCATTTCTGCGCTTTCTTCACCAGCGTGGAAATGTGAGATGACCATGTCAGGTTCTCTGTGATGCTGATTTCCAGGAACCTGAAACCGTTCACCTGCTCCACTCATGTAGACATAAGTGTGTGTCTTTGTCTCATTTTTCTGAAAATCAATTATCAGCTCCTTGGTTTTGCTGACATTAAGCAGGTTGTTCTCTGTGCACCACTCTGTAAGATTGTTGGTATCGAACAGAGTTCTGTCCATGTTGCAGTCGTGAGTGTACAGTGTGAACAGAAGGGGGCTGATTACACAACCCTGGGGGGGCTCCGGTGTTGAGCACTACAGTGGAGGAGGTGTGACTACCAATCCGAACTATCTGGGGTTAGTTTACGAATAAATCCAATATCCATGCCCAGAGTGCCAAGTTTGCCAGTGTTTTTCTTTATATACAGCCTGGTAAAGATACAGTCAAGTCAAGTTCTAGTATATAATTTTTTCAGAAACAATATCCACCCATCCATTAGCTGTGACTCTTTATCAATTATGACACCAGTTTAGAGGCGGGGCACACTAATCCTGCTCCCATTCACACCTCTGGGTAATTTAGAGTTGCCAGTTAACCTAACCTGCATTTCTTTGGACTGTAGGAGAACACTGGAGCACCTGGAGGAAACCTACGACACAGAAAGTACCCCAGCTGGCCAACAATAAGAAACAATATGTTCCAGTTATTCAAAATAATCTCAGATCTTGCTGAACGTTTTTTCATTCTTTTGGCAAATTGAACTTCCAAGACAGGGGCCCTCTTTCATTGGCCACACAAAGGTTGATTTTGTATTTGTGTTGTGCGGATGTACCAAGACAATCAGTTTCATCTGTCAGAATTAAAATCTGCAAAACCGCTTCTCTAGTTTCTCTTAAAAAGGCTTTTGTTTCACATATACTGTATTTTCCTCGTCTTTCATTACAGCCTTCTGGTGAAGAGGACCCCGAGGAGTTCAGGGTACAGACCAGACTGTGAGCACCTCCTTTATTCACTTGTTAGACATGTTATCTACAGTGGATAGGAAAAAGTCCAGACACCCCTGTTAAAATGCCAGGTTCTTATGATGTAAAATAATGAGAATGTCAGAACTTTTTCCACCTATAATGTGAACAATTCAATAGAAAAACAAACTGAAATCTTTGAGGGCGGAAAAATGGAAAAATAAAAACCTTACAATAACCTGGTTGCATAAGTGTGCACACCCTCTTATAACTGGGGATGTGGCTGTGTTCAGAATTAACTGATCACATTCAAACTCAGGTTAACTAGAAGTCATTACACAGCTGCCATCTTTTAAAGTGACTCTGATTAATCACAAATAAAGCTCAGCTGTTCTAGTAGGATTTTCCTGATATTTTCTTAGTTGCATCTCCGAGCAAAAGCCGTGATCCGCAGAGAGCTCTCATTGTTGAAAGACCTAAGTCAGGAGACGGGTACAAAAAAAATTTCCAAAGCATTAGATATACCATGGAACACAGTGAAGACAGTCATCAAGTGGAGAAAATATGGCACAACTGTGACTCCAAAATTGATGGAAAAGACGAAAAGAAAACTGGTCAGGGAGGCTTCCAAGAGGCCTACAGCAACATTAAAGGAAATGCAGGAATTTCTGGCAAGTACTGGCTGTGTGGTAAATGTGACAACTATCTCCTGTATTCTTCATATGAATGGGCTATGGGGTAGGGTGGCAAGACAGAAGCCTTTTCTTACAAAGAAAAACATCCAAACACAGCTGAAGTTTGCAAAAACAAACATCAAGTTCCCCAAAAGCATGTGGGAAAATGTGTTATGGTCTGATGAAACCAAGGTAGAACTTTTTGGCCATTATTCCAAAAGGTATATTTGGCACAAAAACAACACTGCACATCACCCAAGGAACAGCATACCTACAGTGAAGCATGGTGGTGGCAGCATCATGCTTTGGGGCTGTTTTTCTTCAGCTGGAACCGGGGCCTTAGTCAGGGTGGAGGGAATTATGAACAGTTCCAAATACCAGGCAATTTTGGCACAAAACCTTCAGGCGTCGGTTAGAAAGCTGAAGATGAAGAGGAAGTTCACCTTTCAGCACGACAACGACTCAAAGCACACATCCAAATCCACAAAAGCATGGCTTCACCAGAAGAAGATCAATGTTTTGGAATGGCCCAGCCAGAGCCCAGACCTGAACCCAACTGAACATCTGTGGGGTGATCTGAAGAGGGCTGTGCACAGGTGATGTCCTCGCAATCTGACAGATTTGGAGCACTTTTGCAAAGAAGAGTGGGCAAATATTGCCACGTCAAGATGTGCCATGCTAATGGACTCCTACCCAAAAAGACTGACTGCTGTAATAAAATCAAAAGGTCCTTCAGCAAAGTATTAGTCTAAGGGTGTGCACACTTGTGCAACCAGGTTATTTGAGGGTTTTTACTTTTCATTTTTCCCCCTCAAAGATTTCAATTTGTTTTTCAATTGAATTGTTCACATTAAAGGTCACATTAAAGGTGGAAAAAGTTCTGACATTAACAGGGGTGTGTAGACTTTTTCTATCCACTGTATGTGTAGTGTAGAAATGTATGGTGTAGTGCTCATTTCATGCCAATCACTCACATGTGTCTGGTTCTTTTGAAGGTCTGTATTTTTCATGCATGATTCAAACTGATATCAAAATATACTCCAAATGTAGCCGAGCCTGGCACTGATGCACTAACACATGCCTGATAACCCTGTGCTCTCACTGTATCTTATTATGTAATGTTTTTAGGTTTGAGTTGGATAATCTCTTTAAGATTGTCCCTCAAGGACAGCTGTTACTGTAAGCGTTTTGACTTTCAACTAGACAGCACTGACTGCCTAAGTGCAACCTCACACAGCCGGTAGAAGAGCGACATCTATTAGTTCACTACAGAGCCTCAGATAACCTGCCTTATAATAGCCTTCCAGATCTTATTGCAGATCAGCCGGAGGGTTTTTCTTCCACTGCACTTAAAAGTAGTTTGTTTTCTTTATATGACTCACATTGGTAGTGTCTATATATTCATTTCAGACATTGGTTTCGAGGTGCCAGATGCCTTTCTGGTGGGTTACGCTTTGGACTACAATGAGTACTTCAGAGATCTCAGTGTAAGTTTGCAGCAGTTTATTACTTAATGTGAAATGTAAGAGGATAGACAATTTATGAAACAGTAGCTGTGTTCCAATTCCATACCTCATTTTCAACAGTATGCAGTATGTACATTATACTGCTTCTCACAGCAAACTGTTTCGCAGTTAGCATACAAATGATGTATTAATCTGGAAATCAGGAATCAGGAAATTAGGCAACGCATGCATGATGCATATCAATCAAACTGTGATCTTGAAACACCACTGCCAACTACACCAAGAGAACATAAAATGTTTTTCCAAACATTTAAAATTTTTCTCAACTTGTTTTACCACCACCTGCTACTATTTAAATGTTTTGCAGCATTCCTTACCCTAACGCTAACTTGTACTTTATTTAAATTCAATTACATGACCTCAGTGTCATCAGTAGTAGCTACAGCTTTGTACTCGCTGTACAAAATGGAGAAATGTAAACAAAACTGGACAATAGAAATGCATTTAACATTAGTTTACTGCCCTCTGGTTTATTTTTTCCACAGCACATCTGTATACTTAATGATCAAGCCAAGGAGAAGTACAAAGTGTGAGCAGATGAAGTGCTGCAGAGGCGATGACTCAATCAATGAGGACTCAGACCACTGTGATGACCCTCCATTAGTTTTGCTGTGTTTTGAATCTTATTTATTTTTCTACACAAGAATCCACAAAATGTGATGTGTGGTTTGTAAATAACTTAAAGAAGAACATTTAATTTCCCCCTTATTGAATACCTGGGATCAGTTATGTTTATTATGAATATTTTGGTTGATGAAATTTAATTTATTTACCACAAATGTGTTATAGAATTTACATGTAATGTAGTTTTATCTTGGAGCGACAGGAAAAAAAAACCAATGTCATTAATTTGTTCTGGCTCATCAATTTATGTTCAGATGAGGTGTCAGTCCAATTTAAGTAGCATTCAGGCTGTACGTGTTTCTGTTTCGACTTATAATGCTGATATATCCTCTCATTATGCCATAAACTGACTGACTTGGAATGTACTGTATGTTTTATTTCATATCTGATGTTTTCATGGAGGACCTGTTTACAGCAATACAAATCCTGTTTAAACCTCGAATCCTTTTTTTTTCGTTTCACTTTTTAACTTTTCCCAAATGTTTAGAAATGACAGTTAACGTAACGCTATCTTAGTGTAGCCATATTCAAGAAAAAAAATACCCTGTCCATTTAATTTGATACGTTTTGCACTCAACACCGTTGTGCAGTCCAACGACCGCTAACTATGGCTAACGCGGAAGCACGTCGCGTAGCGTGACGTCACATTTTCGTTTTGTTTTTTTGTTTTAATGAAGCTAACCGAGCCGTTGTATGAACTATTTTAGTTAACACAAGAATAATGCAGGCCATCACAGAGATACCATCTGACACATTTAGCGGACCCAGCTGCTAACGTTTATCTTTGTGTCAAGGGTAGTTTGTGCCACCATGTGAGTGACGTAAAATATGTAGGACAGCTCCTGCTGTTCTACACTTGTTTAACGTTTTATAATAAACTACATACCGGTAGTTAATAGGCGTGCTGTACTATGTTTACTGGTCAGACCTGATTATCAGGTTTTATATTGTACACGGATATTTTTCACTTGGTTTCCAATTTGTTTATGCTTCGGGCTTCTACCTCGTAGCTTTCCTCTACTTTTTTGAGTCTGCTTTGAATCAGACCAGGTAACTTACGATGCATATAAAAGAGGAGACGATCGCCATTTTAAAGCAGTTTGACATTGGAAACAAGTTCTCCTATCTGCCGGTGCTGCCCAAAGCCTCAGTGCTGATCCCACTGTTTGTGAAGAATGGAGAGCTACACACCTTGATGACCCTGCGTTCAGAAGAGGTAACCAGAATGGATGTGAATTTGATGGAGGTCTAATGCTGTGTCTGTTACCTAACAAATTTTGACTCGTTCCTGTGTGTCTGTAGCTGAGGACCAGTGCTGGCGAGGTGTGCTTCCCCGGTGGGAAGAGAGACCCCAGTGACAGAGATGATGTGGACACAGCTTTAAGAGAGGCAGAAGAGGAAATAGGTCTACCACCTGATGATGTCCAGGTGGTCTGCACACTGTTCCCCATCATCAATAAGGTAGGCCAGCAAAACATACAGTATCTCAGAAAAGTGAGCGCACCCCTCAAATATATCTTTTCATGTGATAATACTGAAGAAATGACACTTTGCTACAATGTAGTAAAGTAGTAGGTGTACAGCATGTATAACAGTGTTAATTTGCTGTCCCCTCAAAATAATATCATATGGCCATTAATGTCTAAACCGCTGGCAACAAGACTGAGTTCACCCCTAAGTGAAAATTAAACATTTTCCCTCCCAGGTGTCATATGACTCATATGTCTTAGATGTGAACGGGGTGCAGGTGTGTTAAACTTGGTGTTATTGCTCTCACACTCTCTCATACTGGTCACTGGAAGTTCAACATGGCATCTCATGGCAAAGAACTCTTGAGGATCTGAAAAGAATTGTCACATGAAGAGATCTAATCAAATATTTACAAAAATGTAAGGGGTGTACTCACTTTTGTGAGATGCTGTATTTTCTTTCAGTTCATCAGCTGCTTTGGGTCCATCTCTTTCTCATGTGAGACCCCCCCTTTCATCTCTTTTAACAGAGTGGTCTGTTGGTGACCCCTGTGGTTGGCTTCATAGAGGAGTCATTTTGTCCCAGTCCAAACCCAGCTGAGGTCCGTTCCGTGTTCACAGTCCCTCTAGGCTTCTTCACGAGCGAAGACCACTATTCTGCCTGCGGTACTTCTGAGATGGTGGGGACATTGCACTTTTTTAATTTTGTGGACCCTGATTCAGGAAGCCAGTATCAGATATGGGGCCTGACTGCAATGTTGGCCATACTGGTTGCTACTCTTGCGCTGAGGAAAAAACCGAGGTTTGAGGTTGGTTTTGACTCTGAGGATCCATTATCCTTCTTCCAACAGATTCTGCATAGACGAATGAGTAAACTATGACCAGTTGTTTCTCTGATGTGCTAATACAAAATACCGGAAGCCAGATTTGTTATACTAATGTAATTTGTTACTGTATTAATTGTGAAGTCAAGAGTGCAATGTGAAACTTTACGTGCTTGCAATATTTCTTTAAGGAGATTAATCCTTTAAAAACATTTTACAACTAGTGAATCTAAAATGTAGGGGGGGAGCAAATGAAGACATTTATATTTTTATTAATTCATTTAATGTAGCAGCAGGATTACAGATATAAACAGAAGAGTATACAAATGTCCAGACCAAGGCAAAGTACATGTTAATAATAGTTCAGATGTATGATAACACACTCGGGTTGACCTTTTATCCAGACTGCAGGGTCTTAAGGCTAGATACTAAAGCTCAAGCTACACAGAACGGATACAACATAACTGTTGGAGAATGTGAAATAGAAAGCGAACTAGGAGAAGTGAGCAAACTGATTACACACAAGATACAGCTCACACTATTGGCAATTAACAGTTAATTTATCATGGATGCTCCTTTTTATCAAGCATTTCACAGCAACAATAGTAATGTTGACAAGCACATCAACACAAGAAAGCTCTCCATAAAATAATCTCCACTGTCTCATCCCTTTTACCTCACATGTACAAATCTCATGAGGCGTGAATAACAATTTTCAACAGAAAACAATGAACAAGGTGACAAGTCAACAGTGAAGCTGCGCAATTTTATGTTAATACTACTCACGGATATCTTGTAATGGACTTCCAAGGAAAATGTTAAACCTAAAATATATATCGGTATGGGCTATGGTTATGCTTGTTTTAGAAATAAAGATTCAATCACTGAAAATTGTCCTGGCGTCGAACAGTCATAGAAAATAAAAAAGGACAAGGAGCAAAATAGCAATGACACAAAAGAGACACCAGTAAACACAGCGGAGTAACGGTAAGTTATCAAGGCACACAAAGTTCTGTTGAAAGCATCACAATTGAAATTCAAGATACCCCCTGCAGTATATTTCACATTTAAATATACATGGATATTCATTTACATGACTGAAGGACAAAACTGATATTGTGTACAGATTTGTGTGCTATCTTCACGAACATTAAATTCATGTTTCACGTGTTTTGTATGGGTTTTTTTTGTATGTTTTTTTTTTTTTTTGTAAAGGTGGAAGTGGCTATTTGAAGAGTCAGACTGAGCATCCCGGATTGCTCAAAATGAAAAATGACTGGACGTGAAAACATGAAATTACACCACAATCCAAGACAAAATAATCTGACAAATGTACATAGATACAAATGACAGTTAGTGCCACCCCACCCATTCCCTCTGCCTCAAAATATGTTCTCTGAAACTGTAATTGGTCCGATGTTAGATGTAGAGCAAGCTCTATGTCCACACCATGAGGTAAAATTTACATTCATGAAACTGAAGTCACAGGTCGGCTTTCTGTGTTGGTATGGCTTTAAGAGGCAATACTGTTCCGCACTTCTTCCGCAACATCGTGTGCTCTTAAACTCCTCCACCCGAGAGGAATGGAATGCTTGGAAACATCACTACTGCACTCTAACCTGATCTACAGTTAATGGATGAATCAAAGTGCCATTTGAGATGCATGACATTAAAAGACAAAAAAAAACAAAAACAAAGTCAAACAACACACACAACAAACCTAGCCCATGTATCATGTTATACAGGTTGGGTAAAGTCAATGTTAAAACTGTAGAATTAAGTTCAAGATATCTGCTTGATGTCCACTAAGTTCCATTTCTATTTTCAGTCATACTCTTCACAATAAACCTGGACTTCATTTCATTTCAGGAAAACATACCAGCAATGATATTCTGTGCTATGAGCATAAACCAGAAAGTGTAGTTTTACAAAAATATTCTACATTTTGATTTGATAAATGGATACAAAATTCTAGAAAAGATAAGTTACTTTAAAATGGATCACTAACAGCTGCAAGACAAAATAGTATGCCTATGAAAATGTAAACAAATGCATGTGTGAGAAATGCTATTCTAACATTTGAATTATTCTCAAAAATTGGCTTTTTGATTATGCCAAATTGGCTACTATTGTAGATATAAGTAGGAAAGTACAGCAGTGTTATTTTGCATTAAAAAAAATAGAGTACTGTAATGACAAATGTTATGGAGCAAATCGGTGAAAATGTTAATGAGGGATTAACTGATCCATGAAATAAAGTACCTTTACATATCTTTTATAAATCTTGTACTTAAAACAACATGCTGAATTGCTATCCATGTAAGAGCTGCATAATTTAAATAAGTACAAATAAGTAAACATTATGAGGGCGTTTGCAAGGACAAGAATGAGACAAGATGACGGCGATTCACAACAGGAGCTTTGGTACGCCTGGGTGCACTCCAGTCTGACCCCACAACAGCAGCCAGCTCTCTAGACTCAACTCCGCTTCAAAACTAACAATTAATGTCAGTGCTATTGATATACGTATAAACTGTTCTGTATCATCACATCAGAAGTGCCCATCACTCCTGCACATAGCACCACAGATAGAATCAAAATGGCGGCCTCTATGTAACAGAGATTTCATTTACCAGGGAGCCCCCTGTTCACAACACAAGGGATGGGTACTGGATGCCAACTTCACATGGCGCCAGCCTGCACACGGTACCAACACAGACGAAAACTTAAATATTTAACACAACACAAGGTAAAACAGTCTCAAGTGACAGATTTAACAGTAAGTAGTACAAATAGCAATATGATGAAAATCCTTCATTTCAAACTAAAGGCATACTTTACCACTCCACCACTGAAAAATGACAATGCTTTAGTGGAATGGCTGTTTTTTTGACAGACTTGACTGGACCACTGAGACTGAATACAAAGAGGAATTCAACAGTGAGCAGACATTCTATACAAAGTTGTCCTACACCTCAAAAATATTCATGAGAAAATGTAAAAATGCTTGGTTAAGATGTATTTACCTTTACAAAGACAACTGCTTTATGTTTTTTTAAAATGTTTTTCTTGTTTTGTAACTGGACATTTCCGAGTACAAATTCAGCTGGGTCAGTAGAGAGCTGTGGACGAATATAAGGATTAGCTAGAGGTTATAAAGTGCTTGAGATAAAATGTTTATAAAACCACACAACACTCCATTTTCACGAGTGGAAAGTTTCTCTCTATCCACATTAAATTGGTTAACTTCTTCAAAACAAAAAGATACACACACTACATAGCTGAATGCTTCTTAAAATTTCACCAAGAAAGCTTCTGCAAACCCAGTGATGAGGCTTAAGCGTATGAAAACACTAGGAGGTGCCAAAACGAAAGGCCAAGTCGCATTATACACCAGGTTGAATCTCATTTGCGAGTGTTTAATAGTCCCTCCGCTTTCTGCACATGGGGGAACCCCCTGCAATACCAAAATGTATTGTTACCCAGAGTAAGTTCATTTCGTTTTGGGGGAGTTGATATCAATATTTAACTCTCCTTCTGATAGTCTGCTTAGGTGCATACTCCAGCCATGCCAGCAAACATGATGGAGGCAAAAATTTCTACAGATGTACTTGATTGAACGACCTTTACTCTTGTTAGTTTTTCGTCCAATTGTTGACATATGCAAGCGCCTAGTTTAATTAATTGCAAAAATTCTTACATTATCCATGGCAAAAGATGTTTAAATTTGAGTGGTTGTGATATTATTCAATCCCAATTTTTATCTCAGGTGATCTTCCACTATTGCTCCACCTGACGAACAGACAAAAACGCACCTCACAGACACTTGGAGTTTACACACTTACAAGATGAAATTCAGCCTATATCTCACACTTAAGTGCAATCTGATATTCACTCTATGACTGGATGTCTTACAGACATCTCACATTACTATTCCCCCATTTCCCTGTTGCTGACATTCTTTATCCCTTTCCAGTTCTTCCACCGAACCTGGTAGGTTTTTTTTTCATCATCTTCATCATCTCTTAGGCTCACATTATTAAAACACAAACAAAACACTGCATTTGTGAGAATGATGGATAAAGCAGTTATTACAGGCCTCTCTGATCCTGCAAGAGGGGTAACAACAAGGCGGACTCATCAATTCAAGGACAATGGATGTATGGAGGCTATAATTAATTATAAATATTCCATAAAAACAAGGACTTACATGATCTCATAATTTGGGGGAGGGAGGCTGTTTATAGGTAAAAGGGGCGTTTTATTCTTAAATATTTAAAATTGTCTAAGTTTTATGGCATGGACACAAAACACCAACATTCTGTTTGATGTATAACTCTCAGCTACATATCACTCACTCTCCTTAGTGCCCATATGGTCCAAACATTTATCACTGCTTCTGTAGGCTTTCCAGTAGGTCCTCAATTTTATCCATGTTGGACGATGCAGATATTGATGCCTGCAATTGATTCTGTAAGCTGCTCTGTATCTGTGTCTGTAGATTGGTCTGCATTGGAGTTGGCAGGCTTGTTTCTATGGTTGCCTGTAAACTGGACTGCAGGGCGGTTTGTGTGTTTGTCTGCATTGCATTCTGTAGACTGGTCTGCATGGCATTCTCTAAGCTGGATTGCATTTGTGCCTGAAGGGTGTTCTGTAAGCTGCTGTGCATGGTGGCCGGCATCGAGGAGGCAGCTTGGGCCATGGGCTGGTCCAACAGAGGTTGCATGTGACTGGAGTTCTGGGGCTGGCTCTGAGCCGGCAGGGTGGGTCCGGAGGAATTGAGCAGCTGGGGTGAGTCTGGGAGGAAGAGAGAATGGAAATAATCACTATAATCAAACAGTAGGTAAACACATTGTCGCTTACATTGAAGCAACTCAGGAGACACTTGGACATATACAACGCAATGGGTAAAGCATGGCAGTACCATGTGCTTTGGGAAAACAAGAATTTACAGTTACGTAACTCTGATTTAATGCACTTAAGAGGTGGAGAAGACCAAAATAATCTTACCATTCTGGATGCCAAACACAAACAGGTTGGCCTGTCTTTGTGGAGCCACATTCCCACCCACAGTTGTCTGGAAAAGCTGCTCTGGGGGCTGCTGGCCAGGGTTGGCTACCACACCCACACTACCCTGTACCACAAAGATGGTTGCGCCAGCGGCTGGAGCCTGGTTGTTCAGCTCCTGTGAGCCAATAGTGCTTTGCAGGCTGGATAGAGATGTGAACAGTTCCACAGGTTGACTGCTCTGGATGTTGCTGGAACTTGGGCCCAATTGCATTGGCTGCTGCTCCTGGAACAGGCTCTGCTGTTGATTCTCAGTGGATGTCGAGTTGCCGCCTGAGGAGCTCTGGTCTTGGAAGGACATGGGCTCCGCTGGGTCTGGCTGGGGCATTCCAACGCTGAGGCTCCCTATAGGGGAAGGGCCCTGGGTCTGTGTGCTGAAGAGAATAGTTGGGGGAATAGCCTGGGGGTTTAGATCTGTGGTGCAGAGGAGTAGACCTGTCTGCTGGGGTTGGGAAAGCTGGCTCTGGGGGACAGGGTTAGCCTGTGAGTGGTTTGGGATACCTTGGAACAAGGAGCCCTGCTGGCCCATTGGAAGCTGGGGTGGCTGTTGTTGATTCTGCTGTGGAGACTGCTGCTGCTCCATGGGGGTACTCTGTTGCTGCATTTGGGAAAGCTGAGCTTGAGGCTGGTTCTGAAACATTGCAACAGACTGGGGCTGGCTGTTAGAAGTCTCCATGGATGAAATGAATGCCAGCTGCTGCTGTTGCTGTTGTTGGGGCTGAGGATTTGGGGACAGGTATAGGGTTGACCCTGTGGACTGCTGCTCTGAGTTGAGACTGCCACTAGTCAGAACGGTCAGTGTATTCTGGAGCAGGGTAGCCTGTACCTGCTGCTGGGAGCCCTGTGTCTCAGCCAGGGGCCTGGGTGATTGGAAGAGCTGTTGTGGGGGAGATGTGTGGGATGGAGGCTGTGTTGGGAAGCTGGTCTGAATGGTAAGCAGGTCTCCAGCCTGAAGGAGGGACACTGGCTGCTGTACTTGCGAGGAGGAGTGGATCTGGGGCTGAAGCAACTCAGCCTGAATGTGCTGCTGTAAATTATCCAAGACCTGCTGCTCTTGCAGTTGTTGTTGCTGTTGTAAATTGCTCAAAGCTTGATTTTGCTGCTGATGTTGCTGCCGTTGTAGCTGCTGTTGTTGAAGCTGATGTTGTTGTAAATTGGTAATTATTTGATTTTGTTGTTGCTGGTCCTGAAGTTGGATGTTGTTAAGGACTTGCTGATTTTGTTGCAACTGTTGTTGTTGCTGTTGAATATTCTCCATCATTTGCTGCTGCTGCAGTTGCTGTTGGTCTTGTGGCTGTAATATAATTTGTTGTTGGAGCTGCATGTTGCCAAGAACTTGCTGCTGTTGCTGCTGTAAGTGCTGCAGTTGTTGATGCTGTTGAAACTGTTGTTGTATTTGTTGTTGTTGTTGTTGTTGTTGCTGCTGCTGCTGTATCTGCTGTTGCTGTTGTATCTGCAGCTGCTGTTGTGTCGATAGTGAATTATCTGTGGTTCCCAATCTAAGGCTATTCATGTTCTCCTGGACGTGCTGCTGAAGGGAGTCTGCAGAGGGCGTGGGGCTGTACAGCACAGAGTTCAGCTGCTGCTGGGCTACAGCTGCCTCAAACACCTGCTGGAGTGTGGTGTTGCCACCAGCCTGTAGCTCCCTTACTGCCCTCTCAAGCTGGGCCACCCCTTCCTGGGGAAACAGGGGAACCTGTGACTGCTGAGGCTGAGAGGGAGCTGCTATTTGGGACATGGCCAAGACTACAACCCCTCCAGTATTATTTGGATTCTCAGGAGGCAGACTGTCCTGAGGGTCTCTGAGGAATTGCTGAGGGACTTCTGGTGTAACAGGAGGGATTGTAGTATCTCCCGACACTGGGAAAGAGGTTGTGGGCGCGATGTCTTCCTTTTGTATGGTGCTGAGAGACTCTAGGCTAGGGAAGACAGGGGGTGCCTGGGGAAGCTCCACATCTTCAGGTTGAAGGGGCATTGGGCTCTGAAAGGACTCTCCACCTGGATGAGGACTAGAGTTGAGCTCCAGAGTCTGCTGCACTGAGACGAGAGGGTCAGGGGATGGCTAAGAAAAGAAGGGAAACAAAAATGATACCAACTGCAATTCTGAAGTAGATATTTTGATTCCTCTTTCTTGAGAGTGAATGGCATCTTACCTTAAAGACATCTGTGGTTGGTGGATTGCTAGACACTTCCATTGGTGTGTCCTCTTGCCGTTTAGAAGGCTGACCAGAGCAGTCAGTTCGCTCAGAAGATATAGATTTGATCTGGCCATCAAATATGCACGTCTTGACCAGGGAGGGTCCCTCTGTTTTTACTGTCCGGACATTTGAGTTGTCAGCTGTGGGTAAGACTGAAAACACAGGATAACTTTTAGTCTTTGATAAGACGCTACTTGAAGTCTATGCCTTGTACCTCATGGATTATTAACTTATAATCGTGCGTTCTGAAAGTTTCTGTGATAAGTCATTGATGAATTCCAGCATTTCAGCAATACTGAAAACTGTAATTCAAAATCACCTGCTGTAACAGAAAAGTGTCAAGATGATTTATACAGCTAATGCAGGTAGCATGTTTCCTAATATAATAATATGGTCACTTAAAAATAATAATAATTATAAAACCTCCTCTAACATTGTATCCAAGAAGCCTCTAATTCCAAAGATAATATCCCCACCTGGGCTGAAAATTAACACTAGGTTAGCCTCTGCACTTGAGCTAGTGGCTGTACCTGCGTCTGGAGTGTAGGTAAAGGGCTGGGCGTCATGTGATCTACCAGCATTGGTCATCACCACGATTCCCACAGATACTGGAGAAGTGATTGACTGGTTATGGAACGGAGGGACGGTCACTATCAAATGGTTCTGGAGAAACATTAAAGATCCAAAAGGGCATCACATTTTTTGTAAAATCTCAAAGAGTATGGTTCATGAAAGCAGGTAGGTTTGATATGGCAGCTTACATAATTCCAGGAGCCACAGAAGAGGATACACATCATTCAGTTGCATTTACCTGATGGAAAAGGTCCATGTCAATCTTTGCCTCCGCTTGCCAGGAACTGTCATCTACAAATAAAATAATACTTTTTAATTCTTCCATCCCTCAGAGGTTTACATGCAGAAATCCATATACACGCAAATTACATTGGGAAACACAATGTAAGACACAATACACAAAGCTGGCTACAGCACCTGCAACGTTCTCCTGAAAAATAACTTTGGTTCCTTTGAGGAAGTTCTTTCCAATGATAAAAACTTCCTCTCCTCCTCTCACTGAGCAGCTGTGAAGACTCTTCTTCAGGATCTCTGGCACTCCTGCTGGCTGTGCTGGAGAATGACAGAAGAGTCAAAGAATCAGCATTCACATGACATCTGGGCTAGTGTTCGCCAGAGGGCATGTGCAAGTCTTTGCTATGTTTGACAAAAGCCACACACCACACTAGAAACACACCATTCCCCAGCATTAGGCCTCATGAAGCATGCTGGTGGCTGTTCCCTTTGCAGCTTTAGACCGAAGTTGACAGTTTGTTTTGGTTCATTTTTGGTTCATGTTGTGCCTGAACTACTCACTGCAGAGGATGGGTGATGAGGGGACCTGTAGAGTAAGGACTGATCCATCGGGTTGGGGGATGCTCACTCTGAATGCCAGCCTGGCACGCGTGCTCTTCTTCTTGGACCCTGCCACGCCAATACGGGCCTCCACGTCTGCATTACGCAGTTTCAAAATTCCTACACAGTCCACCCTGAGAGAAACAACGCAGGATGGGGAATGCACTAAGTACTTCTTAAACAGCAACACAAAAAATTAACTTATTGGGAATTATGCACAAAAAATAACCCCTTACGCGAGTGTCATGTCACTGCTGGGCTCCAGGGGGATCTCAATAACAGTGGTGCCCTCTATGTCCACCTCCTTGCAGGCAGTTGTGTTGCGTCCTGTCACTCTGCATGCCTGGTAGAAACCATGAGGCTTCACTCTTCCTGCATCATTCGCTACAAACACCTGAAGCACAACTGGTTCAGTCACGCCCTCCAACTGGGGACAAAAATAAAGTCAGAAATAAAATGTGTAAATAACTTGACTTGAACTTCACCAATACTAAAAACATACCACGATTAAAGAATAAAGCTGTTTGAAGCCCAAAACACAGTGGTCATGGAGTAACTGCGAAATACATTCACATGATGCGTGATGCTTCCTTACTAAATCCATATTAGAGTGCAAACAAAAACCACGCATGCATGGATCTTTGCCAGGGTTGCCAGAAAGACTATTTTCTTTGTGCATGGCTCTCACAAAAATATACATGGGAAATACACTGCAGAATGGAAAATTTCAACTGTATCACAAAAGAGGCACATGCATTTGTTGAAAAGCAAACCTTACTGTTATCATACAATACATGTGCACTGATGATTTTCAAGGCTGTTTCACTGAGTGTTTCATACTTTACACACAATAACAACTGGGAGCTACTTAACACAGCCACAGTTTTATCTGCTGGCCACTAAGCAGTGGAGCAGTCAAGGGTTAAGTGCCTTATTTGTGAATGAAGGGCACTATTCCTTCTTTTTGCTGCCCATGTATCAGTAATAGGTAGGGCTGGGCAATAAATCCAATATATTAGATATATTAGAAAATTAATAAATCATATTTGAGTTTTCAGTGCTTCCACTGGTCGCTGCTGAGGGGTGAAAAACAGAAATGAAAAAACTGTAAAAAGCAACGAGTTACCAGCTACAGGTCCCTGTCATTTGAAAATCCCAAGAGATAACACGATTAGTCATGTGGTTGCTCTCATTACTCTACTGCGGTTTCCAGCTCTGGAGACGTATTTGGAACACCTCCGGTTTTAGGCTATTTTAATTGACTTTAGCTGATAACTAGCTAGCTTTTCACACTATGGACCAACTCTGATGCGAAGAGTAGAAGATGCTGTAGTAATGTGACATAAACAGGGACTTTTCATTTTCTGGGTCAGCAAACACAACAAACAGCCGTTCAGTAACTATTACACTGCAACCTGAGCTTATCTACACACTTTATGGCTGACTACAGTTACTTAAGTACCCCTCACAGACCAGGAAAGGCTTGCTTTTACAACAAACCTGCTAGACTCATGTCTCTCACACACACGTTACCCACAAAGCGACTGGGGTTGGGCCGAAAGACGATGCCATCGGAGATGGCTGACAGACAACAATGTTGAGCTGGCATCGTCATAGTACTGTAGCAAAATGTACTTAAAGTAGTCATTGTGCAGTAAAATGGTCTCTGTCAGTGTTTTACTATTATATATGTTGTTTTTGGATTAATATTACTGGATGGAGTAATGTGGATGTTTAAGGTGGAGCTTATTTTAACTACTTTGGGTAGTTTAATCTATAGCAATGCTTCATATTCTACAAAATCACCATGTTTGCATTAACTGAGAATGTATGGTGTTTTATTTAAGATAAAATGTGTATATAGAGATATATTGTGTATCACAATATAGTCTAGAAGTATTGCAATATTATTTCTAGCCAGCTATAATAACAGGAAGTTTCTGTTTGACGATCTGGTTTTCATTTGTTTTCAATTGGGCCTGTTTTTGATTTGTTGAAAAATAATGTACCACGAAGAATATAGAAGGTGTAAAACAAAGCTTTTTAGTAGCTCAAAACAAACATGTGCTCGACAGTATTGGTTAATGAATGAATGCTTGTGATGTGTCTGAAGTGGCATGAGGATTATCTTGTGGTATGCAGCACTCCACACACCTGTCCGGTGTATTTTTGGCCTTATTCAGTCAGTTCCAACTTATGTGTTAATATTTTTCCTGTGTCAAAAAGCAGCCGGTGGCATTCTTTGTCAAACCTTGACAGTGGGGAATCCCTGCTGTGTGCGGTCTTTGACGGAACCTCTGCTGCCCTCGGTCAGATAGCGAGCTCTGTGCTGGGTCTCTGGCTGTACCAGGATCTTTAGCTCCTTCCCATCACTCTTCAGGGGGAACTGAGTAGACAGTGACCCCCCCTTCACTGCAGTCCCTGACTCAAGAGAGCTGCAGGGCAACAAAAATCACATGACGACATTTATATGACTTCCAGAAATTCAATTACCCCAAACAAAACTAAATTAAATGACCTTTACTGTATCCCTTCAGAGGGCCAGAGTTACTCTGAGTTAAAATGCTGACAGAATGAATATTGGACAAGGGTCACCCCACCTGGCCATGGCACTGGTCTTGTCTGTGCCCAGCTGGGATAGGACAAAGTGAGGTGCCTTGGCGCTGTCAGCATCAAACACATCCATGCTGTCCTCCGGAGGGGCAGGCTTGGGGCCAGGGCGCTGGCGAGGGGTGCGTTTTCTAGACTTGCGCGGCACCTCTGTGTTGTCGTTGTAGGAGACTGAGCTGACCAAGCTGAAGTTGGAGACGGAGTCATCAGCCCACATGCTGCTGCTATGCTCTGAATCTGGACCAGGTGGACCGGATACGGTAGGCTCCTCTTGGCAAGACATCTGGCTGTCGTCAAATAGGTCCTCAGGTGGCGGGGATATACTTAACACAGGCCTCCTTTTTGATGGGGTGTTCTGAGGCTGCTGGACTACTAGCCCTGACAACACTCCTGGCCCTATGTCTCCTGTTGCAGTGTTTACGCCACTGTTGCCTCTGCTGGGGGCAGATACAGCACCTTCCATACCTTGCATCTCTGAAATTTCAGCTCCATCCCCTCCGGTGGAGTGGAGATGCTGGGGAACCTTGAGATGGTCTGAGGATGAGGGAGAGGGGCCAGTGGATGGGACTCCCATGGCCAAGGAGGAAGAGGCAGAGGGGCTGGAGGTGGAAGAGGTGGCATCTGTAGTAGTACATGCAGATAAATAAGTTAGTACAGATGTTCAGCACAGAGCAGGCTAGCAGTCCCATTCAAGCAGCTGAATTTGTGCATGATTTGTATTGATTTCCCCTCTTCCCAACTCCAATTTCAACAGACTGTTGTGGGTTATATGCTCTCACTGTGCATGCGAGAGCTGTCAAGCATTTGTCAAATATTCTGAAGTTAAAGTTGAGAAGGGTACTATAGGTCCCACAATGATCTGATTCCTACAAAACTGTTCTCAATTAAAATCAATGTGACAAAACTGACATGCTTTGTTTACAAAAACAAAAGCAAGCTACAAATTGTTACATACACATTGCCAGAAAGAAACATAACAAAATCTGGTCAAACTTTCTCGTACAGCCAAATTTGCAAGCTGGTAATGTGGCGCCAAATTAAATTTGCCAGGGTTACAGTACAGTTTTTTGCAATGTGCATTCAATAGTAAACAGTAGTTTGCGCATGCCAATTGGAAGATTTGGTTGGGACTGAGCGTAGCCATGGAGACAGAATAAACAAGCCTCTGACCTATGGAGCAGTGAACTGCAGACCATTTTATATGCAGACACCCCCTGCCTCAGAGGGAACTTCCTGCAATAAAAACGAGACAGCCAATGAGCAACAAGAGAGCTGATCATTCAAGATTCAACTTCTGTCAATCAGTAAATTGGATGAGTTAATACACTGAAGGAAGGAGTAACTTTTTAAGTTGATCATTTATTTACATTTTGAAGCACGTGTATGTGGTTAATGATGACCTGAAGGATATTACAGTAGTCATGCTTTTGATCAGCACTTTGTGTAGGGCCAGCTAAGTCAGACAGGATAGTTAAAAGGTAGCGTCAACAAAAGCGCTCTCTCCAACATGACTGTTGACCAGTTAGTTTGCTCTCTAGATGAAATTCAAGACTAGAATCCTTCACAATTATAGCTGAAGTTGACTGCCCTGAACCATGATCCAAGATCAGACCATATTCCTTTGGTTTGCTAAATGGTATTTAAAAGACAGTTGTTTGGGGCAACTTCACTGTTTCATAAAGAGACAGAACCTTCATAAGTACTGAAAAAGTCAGCTGCTTTGAAAGCTCAATAAATTATCAGAGGACCTACTGTTTAGTACATGTGAAAAAGAGTATGTGTGAATGACAAATGTACTGGAAAGGCACTTGTTAAGGCTTTTAAAAACAAAACCTAATAACTATACTGACATATTCAGAGAGATGTGCTAATTTAAAAGTGCTACTACACAGACTCAACACAATATAATGTCATAACATTATGGAAGTCTGAGATGACTGCTTAAGCCAAAGGACAGAATCTGGATTTTAACTGCCTAAAAAGCCAAGTGAAAATAAAAAGCATTAAGCACAAGCATCACAGAGAAAAGTGCAGCTGAAATTAACGACTGAAATGACAAAGAACAAGCTATGTTAGCATGCTGTTAATGCAAACTCAACATTTCTTGGAGCTGTTATTCAGAGTTAAGCTTTCCAGGAAAAGAGGACTGTGTATGGCTTTCATTACATATACGCCACTGAAATAGCCACTGCTATTAGCAACTGCCATTAGCATGGTATACGTTAGTTAGAGATGAACTGAATTTAGAAGTTAGTCTAAAAGAATATTCAGTCATTTTTAAAACATGTCTTTGCAGTCAGTCAGTCTTATAAAGTGAACTTGTAAGGTGAAGAGCTGCAGTCAGTAATTGCAGTTTGGGTGAATATCAAAGCCCAAACACAAGGTAAGTATTGCTTCTTCCCATGCTGCTGCTAGGATTATAAGAGAGGATGTTCGTCACACAAACATCTACTACCTAACAGGGTCACCTAAGATAGAAAACGTCAAACAAGCTAGCAGTCTAACTGAAACAATGATACTTAATATTTAAAAACAGCTTGATAAAGCTTCAACACCCTACCCCCACACCTCAAATGGTACCACCGTAGCCTTCGTGGGACCAGGTATTAAAATACCTTTGCTGAAATATAAATACTACACTAGCACATATAATCACAAACAGCCAAAGATATTAAGTGTCTCAGAAACTGCTGAAAGGGTGAAGTTGCCCCCAGACACTGATACAAGGCCATATTAGTTTCTTCACCCCTGCTATCTTGGGGAATAGATTGGCAAGATGACACTGATCCTAGATCATGGTTTTCATGGACTGAGCAGGTGGCTCACCTGAGGCCAAGGCTGCAGAGGGGGGAGGTCCCGCCTCTCCCCCACTCTTCTGGCTCATGGTGGGTGTGTCTGTCTGGGTGGACGGCGGCTGGAGCTGGAGCTCTTTGGGGAGGAGGTCATATACCGACTCTGTCATAAAGGAGGAGTAGGAGAAGAGAAATCAGAAAAACATAGATGAGTGTTTATGACAGGACCAAGTAACTAGAAAAGGTTGTCTACTCTTCACAACTAGAGCAGCTCTACATTATGCCTATTTAACAACCTTTATTGTAAAATAACTAACCATTTAAAAAAAGTGGACAAAACTGTATCTGCTTCTGCTGTCAGTTAACTTGAGGTGTTGCATGTTAATATGTACTTAATTTCCAGTGTCACCTGTGCTTATAGGGGCTATAGGTAGTTTTCAGCAGCCACTAGCCGTGGGGTGTTTAGATTGCAACCAGGTGTGACTCATGAGTGAGAAAAATCTGACACAGAGACCAAACACCGGGAGACAGCTTCACACAACATGCTGGTAAACTCCCACTGCAACGTTTCAGTAATAGTTTGATCAGCTTGAGGTTGAAGTGTTACATGATAATGTAACATTGACTTCATTTAGCCGACGAGACACATTGACATTAGCTCGCCTTCCTGCTTTTCATTAACTAACGTTATTTGTCTTTCATCAGAGCACAGCTAAATGTATTGGAGGACAACGAAAACGTCTAGTGAGCTAGAATGATGAATCAGGAGCACACATGCAGAGGACCCGACCCGTTTCCTTCACATAAGAAGCAGAATAGTGGCTGTTCCAAGCAACAGAAAAAACAGGCGTGTGGTTAATTTCAACGTGGGTAACAGCCCGTTGACAACTATATATAGCCCCTTTAACTAAACTCAAAATAACCCAACTTGTCTTTAGAAATACAGTTAGTCATATTGTTAATGGCCAATATCTAATTTAATCCTGGTGGTAATAACAAAACCACTACAGTATCACACTGATGCTAGTTGTTGTTTCCTTGTTCCCTTTCCAGAAATCAGTGGAAGCAATCCCAGGATTGAACTGAAAGCAAACCTTGGTCTCATGATTACACGTTCCCACTATATTATATATATATATATGGAGTCAAAACTAACACAGGCTATCTCGTGATAAACCAAATTAGTCTCCCATGGAGGTTAGTCTAATGAGACCCACAGAGACATTCCAGTGATATTTGATGGTTAGAAGTTTCCTAGTAGGCTATAACCAAACACTGCAACCGCGTTTGATGACCGATAAACACATGATTAGGTAGTGTGGTTGCTAAGAAACAGGGACCCATTAACACGCTGACATGGATATTTCAGCTGTGCATTGGCAGCACCCGGCATGTGTAGTAGTCATCTGATACTTAGCTATGACTTAGCATCAGCAGAATGGGGAAACTGACAAGACACATGATCTTGCGCTTCTGAGACTTCAATGATGCTGTCGAGGGAGAGAGTGACAACACAAAGTCACGACAGTTCACACAACAACTACACACTGGTCTGGTTCACGCAGACCGGCACAACATAAAGCCCTCAAATGGAGGCCAACTCCGTGCTCTATTGCTTATCCAGAGCTAATCTGTCTTTAAGGGATCATTCCCTCAAAAACAAACAAATAATTAACAATAAAACTTGTTGAGATATAGCCTAAAGCAAACCGCCATTACTGAGTGGCATTAGGTTTATGGTGCTGCAAGTGCTAAAAAAGTCTTTCCAAATATAGAAAGGTTTGTGCTAGTTCACAAATCTTGCTGTGAACAGGATCCTGTGCAGGTAGAAAAGTAAAAAGTGGCTCTCAGTGACACTATTCATAGCATCTGTAGAGTCAATAACCACTTCATTTTGAGTGAACTGTCCCTTTAAACCAGACAAACCATAACGTTTCAAAATAATATACCAAACAAAAGATTTCCATAAGGCTACCTGAGCCTGTCCTCCTGGACACTAGCTATCATCAACCTCATAATAACGCTCTATTTGTGTCTGTTGTGCTTTGTTCACGGTGTAAAGAGAAAGAAAAGAGTCGTTGTGCATAGATGAATTACAGATGGACTGGCTACCCAACATGACCTCAGTCTTGACTATTACCCCTCTCACACAGGAGATGTATGACGTGAGTCTACTGAATGTGTGTTCAACATGCCTGGAACCCATTCATATGCAGCGAAGAAGAGCATTCACATGACCAAATGTCGTCACCACTCACAGACACAGACTATATCTGCAGCAGCAGGCTATTACATAAATTTTGCAGCCAAAAAAACAGAATTACATTACATAATAAAGATAAGAGAAATGCCCTTTCACCAAGCTGGGCATCTTCTGAGCCAGGTTGGGAGGAGGGTCACAAAGCCAGGTTGGACAACATGCACTGACCAGATCAAAATGAGTTTGTTAAACCATGTCACTGCACTGGTCTGAATGGAGAACTCTGTTCTCCCAGAGTTCAGAGCTTGGCAGAACAAAGCAGCACAAGCACAGAAACTTACTTACAATACATTTTAACTGTCTGTAGTTTTTAATACACATTTTATAGTGAGAACATAAAAAAAAAATAATCATCTGCAATCACTGACTTTAAAAGTCAATGACAGGGGCACATAAGGCTGATAATCAGATACATACATTGCTGCTAAATCATTCACGTTATCTGGGTATGTTACTGCATAGTCTGGATTTCATTTAGTGATTTGAATTTACTCACATGCCAGACAGCCCACAGAGTGAACAGTATGCAAAACAGTGTAAATACAAACTGCGGCATTGCTTATGGTGGTGGGAAATTAAAGAAAAACAATCAAAACAGCTTGCTAACACTCAATTATCTGATACTGATACCAGTGCAATACTTGGGTTTTGGTACCAATATCAAAACAGTACTTCTGATAGCATATTTTCTTGAGTATCAACACAATCAGAGTCCCTTAATTTTCTGTCTCTTATTACCTGGACAGAATAAGGTGCTTCTCACAGGCTCACACACATCATATAATTTCTGGTTACCACAGAAATGGCTCCTGTGAAGCTCTTAATCAATCTGTTCGACTGACAAAGGAAAGCTTCAGAAAGAGTTACTTTACAAGAGAAAATAAAAGGCCACTCTTAACTCACATAAACCTCCACTGAAAAGAAAAAGAAATTGAACTTCCCACAGTAAAATTTAAATACTGGGAGAAGAAGTCAGATTACATCTGTACACGTTTAGCTCTACAAGCTTGTCAGAGTATGCCCAAAAAAGAAGCCTGCAACACACAAGCCAGCCAGGGGGCGGACTGGCTTTAACCTACACTTGGAACAATTAAATTACCTCATCTCATAGTTATGCACTGCTCACATTACACATGCCTTAAAGGTTTTGCCAAATGGCAAAGCCACCAGTCCATTTTTATTCTTTGCAGCTGGCTTGGGGCTAAGACGGGGGATGACAGATGAATAGACAATTCACGAGGGCTATGTTTTTGTTGGAAATGAAAAAATATGCAGGCCAAGAATGTATCTCAGTGCCCAATAATGGCTGCTTTAATTATGCTCTTGAAGCCAGAGAACAGACAAAGGGGCTACTCACTGCAGTCAAACCACAAAGAATGCCATTTTTGGCTATTTACACCATCTCTGTTTACCTTGAAGCTGAACTATACTGACAAGGAATAGAATGGCTTGATACTCCATTTGATTCTCCATGGACCTGCTTATGTAGATCAGATAAATAAACCAGATCAGTTTTTCAGACTTAAAATACAATCAATTTAATCCCATGTACATCTAGTTTTCCCCAAAGATACAGTAATGCATGCCATATGTATTTTGTAGGGCTGCCCCCTAATAGCTGACCAAACGACATCAATGAGAAGAGTCTTTCGTCTCCTTGCTGGTTGTTTGACACATTCATGACCCGATTTTGCTGTTAGCACTGTCGTTAACAAGTGGCTTGCTTCATGCCCCTTGTAAAATGTACATTCAAGACTCTTTATTAACAGTATTAATGTTACGTATATCATTCTTTCTCTGCCCTAGAAGTCAAAACATGATTCCCCCAAAAATATATAATAATTAAATTAATATCATACACTAACTAACTAGTCGACTAGGAAAATCTTTAGTTAGGGGCATCCCTAGTACTTTGTCCTTCCCAAAACACAACACTGAGGTAGTCAACTTAGCCTGAAATTAACCACGGTACAAGCTTACAAAAGGCGCAGTGAATAAACAAATACACATGGGTTTGTCAATAAAAGTTATGAGGCTGTATGCCTTTAAAGGATTATTTCTAATTTTCTAATATCTTAGGTGACTGACAACATCTTTCCAGAAACAAAATCCACTTTCTCTAGATAATCCAGACTGCACTGTGAACAATTTTTAACTCCTTTCCCAGAAGAAATGATCCCTCAGAAAACCGTTCACATTGAATAAACACTTATTGTACACTGTAGTGTTACAGTCTATATGGAGCTACAAAGCATGCCCTGCATGTCAGTCTCTAACTGCACACACTGTCACTACAGCTCAAGTTTCTCACACTGATAAGTTTGCGTTAGATTTTTCCCCCTGGGACTGAGATTAAACTACATTAGTACTGAGACGCTTGTTGTGACACTTGGAATTGAGCTCTAGTGTGTCCTACTTCTATCAGTGGTCCTTGAGATGCTTCTCCAACTTAATTGGATTCTACCTAGGGTTGGGCGATCGTCTCTATTTTCATATCGTCTGATCATGGCTACTTGAGATCACCGATTGGCGATCTGATCGCCAGGGGGCGGTGTTACGTTGCAGCAAGTCAGTGAAATGCCAGCATGGAAGAAACAGGCTTATTAGCTTTAAGAGAACCCGCCAGAAACATCTGTAAATGCACAGTACGGTGTTTCCACATAATTACCGTATAACCATGTAGGGTGGAATCGATAGCAGCTATGTACAGCGTGTCAACCTCGACAACCCAGCTGTACTCTAACATTAACATATCAGTCTCCGACATTGACAGCATTGTGTTAAGAAAATAGACTTAACTTCTCAGCGTTAACTTCAATGCATTAGTTTTTCTATTATCACACGGCTCCGTTTCAATGTGTTTCTGTGAGAGAGAGAGAGGAAGCGAGTGAGCAAGTGGAGGT